GAGTAGCTGCCCTACAAATGAGCAACACATACACAAAACAGATTAGCCAAATAGCTAGTTTAGCAGAGCGGCCATTGGCTTCTCCCGGTCAGCTCCATCAAATATTGTGTGTGTGTGGCGAGGGAGGGGGAGAGATCGCACTGCCGAGTGCTGACCTTAATGTGACTCTGGCCAGAGGATATCTAGTAACAGACCTGAGGTCCCCCTGGCATCCATTTTCCCCTGTCGTTCTCTCTGTCTGTGTGTGTGTTTCTAAAGCAGAAAATGAAAATAGTGTTTATGATTGAACAGGTAAAGGTAGTCCCTCCCTTTCAGTCTGTTTTCTTCTTCCACTTGGTGTTTAATGAACACAACCCAGTCAATGCCCTAATTCATATTGAGAACCTACTGTATCTATTTCCGATAATCATGAAGTAGTCTTTGTTCCCTAAAAGCTTTCTTGTTTACATTGACATTTTAGTCATTTAGCAGATGCTCTTATCCAGAGCGACTTACAGTTAGTGAGTGCATACATTTTTCATACTGGCCCCCCGTGGGAATCGAACCACAACCCTGGCGTTGCAAACGCCATGCTCTACCAACTGAGCTACAGGAGGCCTTGTTCAAGGTTGTGTTGTGTTTTATAGGGAGAGTGAATTTCAGTGAAATGATCCTGTTCATATCTGTACTTCAAGACAAGGAGATGAGCTAGGGAGAGACACTTAATACATGTTTGCCTCCTCATCCAAGTGCTTTGTAATTGATGACACATGCCACCATTCTCCCAAGAGATGTCTTCTGTCTGATATCATCTCTTTTAAAGGACTCAGGTGTGCGGTACTGTCTCGTAGCCACTTTGGCAGCATTTTGGGTCATAAGGATTCGGTCCCTTCTCAATTTGCAGTTCAAAATCTATTGCGTCCCAAATGGCACTCTACTGGGCCCTGGTCAGAAGTAGTGCACTACAGTGGATAAGGTTCCATTTGGAACGCAGCCATTGTATTGCAGTGGCTTGTCGGGCCCTTATTGATTCTCCACAATACTATGTTCCTTTTTCCTCTCTCTGTCAGTGTAGTATTTCATGGAATCACATCGTTGTAATCTGATTTATTAATTAATCACTTTGTTCTGCTCCACTGTTACAACTTTTTGTTGCTGATTCAACTTGTTTCTAGAGAGAGAGAGAGAGACTACTGTAGAGCTGCTAGCGCAGCAGTATGGTACATAATTCATTGGTATTGTGATTCACTTCTGTGATTCACTTCCAACGGACAGCTAACGCCGGTGTTAAGTATTAACGAAGGCTGGGTATGAAATACTCAGCGACTGCAAATGTCAGGAGTGGCTAAGGCATGACATCTTCCTCGGTGGTGTTGCTCAGCATGAGGAGTTCTACTTTTTTAAGGCTGCAACCTCTCTACCTTAGAGGCCTCTCCTCATCTCCACTCTTACATTTACATTACATTTGAGTCATTTAGCAGACGCTCTTATCCAGAGCGACTTACAGGAGCAATTAGGGTTAAGTGCCTTGCTCAAGGGCACATTAACGTCATTTAGCAGACGCTCTTAGCCAGAGCGACTCACAAATTGGTGCGTTCACCCTATAGCCAGTGGGATAACCACTTTACAATTGGGGGGGGGGGGGGGGGGGGGGTAGAAGGAATACTTTATCCTATCCCAGGTATTCCTTAAAGAGGTGGGGTTTCAAATGTCTCCGGAAGGTGGTGAGTGACTCCGCTGTCCTGGCGTCGTGAGGGAGCTTGTTCCACCATTGGGGTGCCAGAGCAGCGAACAGTTTTGACTGGGCTGAGCGGGAGCTATGCTTCCGCAGAGGAAGGGGAGCCAGCAGGCCAGAGGTGGATGAACGCAATGCCCTCGTTTGGGTGTAGGGACTGATCAGAGCCTGAAGGTACAGAGGTGCCGTTCCCCTCACTGCGCCATAGGCAAGCACCATGGTCTTGTAGCGGATGCGAGCTTCAACTGGAAGCCAGTGGAGTGTGCGGAGGAGGGGGGTGACGTGAGAGAACTTGGGAAGGTTGAACACCAGACGGGCTGCGGCATTCTGGATGAGTTGTAGGGGTTTAATGGCACAGGCAGGGAGGCCAGCCAACAGCGAGTTGCAGTAGTCCAGACGGGAGATGACAAGTGCCATGATTAGGACCTGTGCCGCTTCCTTGAAGTACATGATCGGCCGGTTTCCCAGACACAGATTAAGCCTAGTCCTGGGCTAAAAAGCATGCTCAATGGAGAGTCTTTTTTGCCCAAGAGTAGGTTTGATCTGTGTTCAGGAAATGGGGCAGATAAGTCTCAAACTGAGATAATGGCGCCCGTTTCATGGACACCTCAACTAAAGTTGAAGAAAACAAAAGGAACAAAATAGTTACTTGTTACTAACGAGTCCTTCTCTGTGTGTTCAGTGTGAAGTTTCATGGTTCAAAATCTAGATTAGAGAGCCCTCATGCAAATGTCCCTTCCCCTCCAGTGGTAAAAAGTTGATAGTAAAGTTCTCTCTGCATCAGTTACTTATTATAATTGATACCAGGCAGAGCCAGTGGTTGATATGTTAGCTCTGCTTTCAATGTATTTAAAGAACTGGCTGTTACAAGCCTCGTGTTAGGGAAGTGTGTGACAAATTGTACAGTGTCCATGGCATGCAGGTTGGGCTCAAGGCCCAATTTTTAAAGGGATAGTTCAAAGAAATTACATATTTAGATATCTTAAAGGAAATGTGTTGCTCAATGACTTGGTTTGATGTTATTTTTAGATGACTTGAGAGCATAAATATAGCCTTCTGAACACTAATTTGGGGAGCCTTTCTCTCTGATGACAACGAGGGAGAGGAAGAACAAACAATTCTTGAACATATTAAAGGCCCATTGCAGTCAAAAATAAGTAGCTTCGTGGTCTGATTCTGTTCAGATCTGTCTGACCACTTCAGGAGGGATGCATTGTGTGGGGATTTATCCTCAGTCTGGATGCAATCAGGCTACCGAAAGAGCATACAGTGGGCGACGTCATCAGCACTCCTCCCACAAGTCTCCAGAAAATGTGTGTTTTGGGACCGAGAGGCACCTTTTTTCATTATAACGTTGGAGGAAATGCATTCCTAGAGTGTGGGGATCGTGTTTGCTAGCCAACTATCTAATATTTAGAAAAACAAATTAATTTTTGTTTTGCTAGAGTAATGCTACCTCATTTGCAATCCCTTTCGTGTTACTTGCTAGCTTGCTGGCTAGCTACAGAGGTTAGCTGGCCACTTAGCTAATGTAGTTAGCTACTGCCATTAGTTGTTATTGTGTTTATATAATTTTGCCTATTCCACCATTTGTGGAATGCATACTGGCATTTGAATATAGCGCGGGAGCGGCACAACATGGCATGATCAGAATTCCATGATCAGAATTACATTATCAAAATACTAAAGCTGCATGAACTGTCAAGTCTAGACACAGCCTTAGTTAATACACCAATAAGAAAGAGTTCCAAACCTCTCTGCCAATAACAGCTAGTTTTCAGTTTTCCCCTCCTCACTCAGACCAGTCCTAGCAAAATTCTTGCTTGAGAAATTGGTCTTTGCTAAGAAGCTATGTTTGTTTCTTTTTCACCATGTTTTCACTTAAAAATCACTGTAAAGTGCTTAATTATAACCCAGCAAGGATTTGATGTTGAGATAAAAATGGCTGCAGTGGACCTTATTAAGAAAATGACATTCAATCATCTTGAGAGATATTTTCAGAAGGCAAATAATACTGAACACAGAATCTGACAATGAGTGTTTAGTCTGAATGTGATTTATTACACTGTTGATGAAAACTGAAATGGCAAAATGAAAGAAGGGCCATGCTTAAATTTGACTGGTTTGTCACAATGTTTTTTTAAATAAAGCTCTGGCCATCTGCCTCAGGGCTTAAACCAGTGGAAATGTATATTGATTTGATGGATCTCTGATCCTTTTTTACATTTTACATTAGTAGTGAAAAGGTAGCCTGGTCCCAGATCTGTTTGTGCTGTCTTTCCAACTCCTATGGTCATTGTCAAGGCAAAGGAGTTGGCACAGCACAAACAGATCTGGGACCAGACTATTAAATAGGTACTGGGGGAAATGTATTGGACCTGTCCTGCAGGTATGGGACCAGTATGCAGACTTATCTGTTTAATCTACATAGTGGCTTTCGCCCCACTAAGAGTTAAAAGGAATAAATCCTGAAGTCAAGTCAATCTCCATAATGTGAAAGGAACAGGTAGACTTTGTTACCCTGTGTTTTGTTGACTCACTCTTGTACACTGTAGCTACACCCATCCCCATTCTCCTATTCCTCCCTCTTACAGAATGTTTTCACTGTGGTGTATGACAGTGTTTGAGTCAGCATAAAATGGCACCCAAACAAAAAGAGATAATTAAACATTTTAAATGAGAACTGAATATGACAGAACCAGCCCAATCAGTTAGTGTCCAGGGCTTCCATCATAAACGTGCCGTGTGCATACCAGACTGAGTTGGGAGAATGTATGTTTTTCAACTAGAACGCATTTTCTTGGATTGATCATGTTTTGGGATTTTGTAGGAAGATCCACCGTCTTTATACGTCAGGATTCACAAGAAATCTGGTGTTTAAAAAAAATATTTCCATTTCACATACCTCTTGCATGATCAAATCCATATCCTGTTACACCAGTTACACTGTGAAATAAACTCCTGATGACTCATGAACCTGTCCAACATGGATATTGCCCTTTATGACCAGATGTTGTAGTAATACTTTCCCATTCTCTCTTCATAATGACATATGTGTCATGTATAGCTCATAAGGCATAATACATGTGCTTATAATGCATTATGAAGAGGGTGTTCATAGGAAGTGTTATCATAATACATCTCTCCACATGAGGAGCAGTGCATTATAATGCGTCATGCACAGCTTATATGGCATTATAAATGTGCTTATGAAGAGGGAATTGTTATCATTATTTATATATATATATATATTACCCTTTACATTGTGGATGTGTGATCTCTCCACATGGGGAAGAAGGAGAGCAGCTCTATTAATAGCTCAGTGCCAATCTGCCGCAGCACTTTACAGAACGCCTTCGCCACCATGACGGGAAAAAGGGCCTTTTTTAAGTGGGGCGTCCTGGCTGCAGAGTGGCGTCCTGACTCTATTGGCAGTTTACAGTTTACGCATGCCAATTGGACTTATGTTAATACTGCTCCTCCCCCCTCCAGAGGGTGAGAGCGTTCAGAAGAGTAAACACAGTCTCCGGCTGTTGTTGATTCTTGGCCCATGGCTGCAGTGTGTGTGTGTGTGTGTGAGGCCCTAGGGGAAGGGTTGCAGACCAAACCGCCCTAACGGCATGCTGCATCAGTAAACAACTTCTGAACACAATTCTACAAGAATGTGAAGAGACTCGTTTCTCAGCGCAGACTGTTTGTGCAGCGCTTTTTGTTGACAATTAGGGGATTCTCGTGTGTAAGACGAAGGCTTCTTCCACCTCTGGTGTTATCAACACAGCCTGTTATTGTGCTGCCATGAAGGGCCATGTAAATACATATTTATTTTATATTACATATGGAGTGTTAGTTTTGGTGTGAAATTGAAGGCAATAAATAATTTTTTTCGCTCACAATTCATGAGGATTTGCATCATCATAACTAAACAGAATAATCACATGGTACTGTAACTATCCTGCTTTAGCTTAATGTTTCACGGGTCAATCACATTATAATCACTTAGTATGGAGTTTTCAGAGTCAACATTGAGAGCGTTGTGTGGTGCTTGTGTGTTTGCTGGAATATTGTTATTAACCTATGGTTCTCTTGTCACATCTGCAGGTGCCCATACCTGGCAATCCACCTGTCCCCTGCCATCCCGGTCTTCGCTATCCTCCTCTTCTTCTTCGTCATGGCCATGCTGCTGAGGACCAGCTTCAGTGACCCGGGGGTGTTGCCGCGCGCACTCCCCGAGGAGGCCACCTTCATCGAGATGGAGATCGGTGAGTAGTTGACCCTACCTGTGTTATGATCATCCATGCGTCCCTCATCCTTCCCTAGGCCCTGTCTAGAAACAACCCCTAGGCCATAATCCATACAGTGCCTTCGGAAAGTATTCAGACCCCTTGACTTTTTCCACATTGTGTTACGTTACAGCCTTATTCTAAAATAGATTAAATAAAAATCTTCATAAATCTACACACAATACCCCATAATGACAAAGCGAAAACAGGTTTTTAGAAATGTTTGCAAAATTATAAAAAAAATATAAATACAAATAAAATACCTTATTTACATTAGTATTCAGACCCTTTGCTATGAGACTCTAAATTGAGCTCAGGTGCATCCTGTTTCCATTGATCATCCTTGAGATATTTCTACAACTTGATTGGAGTCCACCTGTGGTAAATTCAATTGATTGGACTTGATTATGAAAGGCACGCACCTGTCTATGTAAGGTCCCACAGTTGATAGGGAATGTCAGAGCAAAAACCAAGCCATGAGGTCGAAGGAATTGTCCGTAGAGCTCCGAGACAGGATTGTGTCGAGGCACAGATCTGGGGAAGGGTACCAAAAGATTTATTCAGCATTGAAGTTCCCCAAGAACACAGTGGCCTCCATCATTCTTAAATAGAAGAAGTTTGGAACCACCAAGACTCTTCGTAGAGCTCGGCCAAACTGAGCAATCGCAGGAGAACGGCCTTGGTCAGGGAGGTGAACAAGAACCCGATGGTCACTCTGAAAGAGCTCCAGAGGTCCTCTGTGAAGGACAACCATCTCTGCAGCACTCCATCAATCAGGCCTTTATGGTAGAGTGGCCAGACGGAAGCCACTCCTCAGTAAAAGGCACGACAGCCCGCTTGGAGTTTGCCAAAAGGCACCTAAAGACTCTCAGACCATGAGAAACAAGATTCTCTGGTCTGATGAAACCAAGATTGAACTCTTTGGCCTGAATGCCAAGCGTCACGTCTGGAGGAAACCTGGCACCATCCCTACGGTGAAGCGTGGTGGCAGCATCATGCTTTGGGGATGTTTTCAGCGGCAGGGACTGGGAGACTAGTCAGGATCGAGGGGAAAAATGAACAGAGCAAAGTACAGAGATGAAAACCTGCTCCAGAGCGCTCAGGACCTCAGACTGGGGTGAAGGTTCACCTTCAAACAGGATAACGACCATAAGCACACAGCCAAAACAATGCAGGAGTGGCTTTCGGACAAGTCTCTGAATGTCCTTGAGTGGCCCAGCCAGAGCCCAGACTTGAACCCAATCGAACATCTGTGGAGAGACCTGAAAATAGCTGTGCAGCAACACTCCCCCTCTAAGCTGACAGAGCTTGAGAGGATCTGCAGAGAAGAATGGGAGAAACTCCCCAAATACAGGTGTGCCAAGCTTGTAGCATCATACCCAAGAAGACTTGAGGCTGTAATCGCTGCCAAAGGTGCTTCAACAAAGTATGGAGTAAAGGGTCTGAATACTTATGTAAATGTGATATTTTAGTTTTCTATTTTATCAATTCGCGAAAATGTCAAATCTGTTTTTGTTAAGTCATTACGTGGTATTGTGTGTAGATTGATTAGGGGGGAAAAACAATTTCATCAATTTTAGATTAAGGCTGTAACGTAACAATGTGGAAAAAGTCAAGGGGTCTGAATACTTTCCGAATGCACTAAATATACACAAATATAAACGCAATATGTAAAATGTTAGTCCCATGTTTCATGAGCTGAAATAAAAGATTCCAGAGATGTGCTATATGCATGTGCACATTTTTACATCCCTGTTAGTGAGCATTTCTCCTTTGCCAAGATAATAAATCCATCTGACAGGTGTGGCATATCAAGAAGCTGATTAAACAGCATGATCATTGAACAGGTTGACCTTGTGCCGGGGACAATAAAAGGCCATTCTAAAATGTGCAGTTTTGTCACACAACACCAATGCCACAGATGTCTCAAGTTTTGAGGGAGCGTGCAATTGTCATGCTGACTGTAGGAATGTCCGCCAGAGCTGTTTCCAGAGAATTGAATGCTTATTTCTCTACCATAAGCTGCCTCCAATGTCATTTTAAAGAATTTAGCAGTACATCCAACCGGCCTCACAACCGCAGACCATGTGTAACCACGCCAGCCCAGGACCTCCACATCCGGTGGCTTCACCTGTGGGGTCGTCTGAGACCAGCCACCCGGAAAGATGATGAAACTGTGGGTTTACACAACCGAAGAATTTCTGCACAAACTGCCAGAAACCGTCTCAGGGAAGCTCATCTGCGTGCTCGCCGTCCTCACCAGGGTCTTGACCTAACTGCAGTTAGGCATTGTAACTGACTTCAGTGGGAAAATGATCACCTTCGATGGCCAGTGGTTTGCTGATGTCAACGTTGTGAACAGAGTGCCCCATGGTGGCAGTGGGGTTATGGTATGGGCAGGCATAAGTTACGGACAATGAACACAATTGCGTTTTATCAATAACAATTTGAATGCAAAGAGATACCGTGATGTGATCCTGCAGCCCATTGTCTTGCCATTCATCTGCCGCCATCACCTCATGTTTCAGCATGATAATGCACAGCCCCATCTCAAGGATCTGGACACAATTCCTGGAAGCTGAAAATGTCTGGCCTGCATACTCACCAGACATGTCACCCATTGAGCATGTTTGGGATGCTCTGGATCGACGTGTACGATGTCGTGTTGCAGTTCCCGCCAATATCCAGCAACTTCGCACAGCCATTGAGGAGTGGGACAACATTCCACAGGCCACAATCAACAGTCTGTGCGAAGGAGATGTCTCGCTGCATGAGGCAAATAGTGGTCACACCAGATACTGACTGGTTTTCTGACCAACAGATGCATATCTGTGTTCCCAGTCATGTGAAATCCATAGATTAGTGCCTAATTAATTTATTATTGACTGATTTCCTTATATGAACTGTAACTCAGTAAAGTCATTGAAATTATTGCATTTATATTTTTGTTCAGTGATTTGAAACCCAAAGTTAATCAACGTAATGTGACATTTCTGTAGTTCTGAAAGAATGTAGGAGTTTAAGGTAAGCAATATGGCGAGCAGGGATGTAGCTCAGTTGGTAGAGCATGGCGTTTGCAACGCCAGGGTTGTGGGTTCGATTCCCACGGGGGGCCAGTATGAAAAAATACAAAAATAATGTATGCACTCACTAACTGTAAGTCGCTCTGGATATGCTAAATGGATATGCTAAATGACTGAAATGTAAATTACATCTAGCCTATCAGAGGGCAAGGTGGAGCTACTATCATGCTGCTCAGGCCTATCTAATCCTTTCAGATGTACATGAAGTGCCTAAGGGGTAGGGGCTAGCGAAGTCTCTTCCGGACGTGGAACAGATTTCACCAGGGGCCAAGGAGGACTGTGGCCCACCACCCGAGGCGAATTAGGAACCAAGCAAAGTGTAAAGCATTTTAGGGGCATGAATACTGCAGCAGATGTGTGTGTAATTCAGCAGAGTGGAGACCAGAGCCCCTGCCTGTTGTTTAATTCATTTTTGTTATGCTTTATGCCACTAAAGGTTAGAGCTAATCATCCATGTGTTCTGAGCTCATCCCTTAGTCAGACCCCTGCATAGTTACCAACTTTTTCTGCAATCTGAGGTGTACCATTTTGAGCCTTGATGAAGTCTAAATTCATCAGTTTGGCCCTCCATGCCGTTCTCATTACCTAGACAACAGTAGTATGCATTAATTATGATGGCACAACCAAATTGGAGGGTTTTGCAGACAAGCCCTTCCTATGTTCCCTTGCATAACCTAGCCAGATGTGGGTCTTGATGAACATGCTGCACATTGCTGCACTTCTAATGGCCTTTGTTTTGATAACCTGACCACTCCCTAGTGGACTATCCACAATTTTAGCCGCTCTTTCAGCCAGCCTCTCTTTCCTGTCTGTCTCTTGAGGGAAAAGCCTGTCTGCTCTGCAGTAGCCCTGCCGCAGCCCAACCCTCCCTCCCTCCCTCTCTAGCTGTTCAATGTGCAGCCTCTGTCTGTGCAGGGAAGATTCACAGTGCCCTTCATGCATCCCCCATCCTCTCTCATTACGGTCGAGAGGCTTGGGTGGGGGACTGGTCAGAGTTCCTCTCCAGATGACAGAGGGCTGGAAATTATTGCCACTGCTGCAGGTGGTCCACTGAGATTGCCTATGCTGGCAGCGCTCCTTTTGACTCGAGTGTTCCAGTCAGAATACATAGAGATGCATGCTAACGGCTATTGGGCTAACATGCTAACGGATATTGCTTATTGGACTGATATGCTCCCTTTGTGATGGCTCTGACTCAGGCCTTCCAGTGAGACCGCATAGAGATGCATGCTAAAGGCAATTGCCTATTAGTGTAAAATGCGAATGGCTATTGCCTATTCGGCTAGCATGCTAATGGTTATTTAGCTAACATGCTATTGGCTATTGGCCTAACATGTTAATGGTTTTAGGGCTAACATTCTCATCATTGGGCTAACAATAGCCGTAATGGCATTACTTAGAACAGCGAGGCCGTTCAGTTTGTGTGACATGACCTTGTTTAGCACATGGCGTATTTTGAGCCATAGATTGTGTTTGGTGGTCTGCAGCAGGATCCTGCCCTCATAACCTATTTTGCACTCCTCTCAAACTGGTCTTCCTCATCGTACCCTAGTCTCGAAAAACCTGACCCTAGGCAACACAGTGACTAGGGTCAGGTTTCAATTATATACTTTTTTAGCGTAGAGGAACTACGTCATTGCCTACGTCACTACTTTATCCGCTTGAATAAAATACAAAATAGTAGCTAGTAAGCTGGAGATCAGAGGTTATTTTTATTGAGTGCATTTTGCAAGTGGCTAGTTAGCATCAACTACCTTCACTAAAATCACTGCAAAGGTTTTGCCTGCAAACTTTGGTTTTGAATCGTGACGTTCTGGCATGCCTGCCTCGTGATTTATTGGGTCGCCAGAATAGTTGTTTTCATCTTGCCTTTACACTCCCAGAATGTATTTTAATGTGCCATCTTTAGCCAGTGTGGCAAGCGGTGGGGTCTGTGACGGAATGTGGGGGGGTGTTAATGGGAGACAGGCAGGTATGGATGTGTGGAGCCCTAGGGCTCTAGAACCCAGGCTGCCTGGCATATTGATAAAGGCCCAGCTGTGGTGCTCTGTCACTTGGACCCGTTAGTGGCTGGCTCCTGGAGGAATACTAATCGGATGAGAGCCTATCCTCCTGGAATATATATAATGGGCAGACGAGGACCGGCTCTTCCCAAGGGACTGCGTGTATGGTCTCGTTCCCCACTGGAGTGCTAGCAAGCTACATTAATTCATTCACAAAGCAATGGTTTTAAGTGGAAATTGGTTTGATTAACTTACTGTGAATCGACATTCTGATTTGTTAAAAAGCCTGGTGTTTCTTTAAACATGTTTTTGCATGTGATGAAGCCATTTGACCACTGTCTTGTGTGCTGTACACTGTATTGATTTTTCCTGTACACTGTTGAGTTGTACATTTTTCTTCAATGGTGGTAGCAAGATCCTTAAAATTAATTCTGCTTTCTTGCATAGCCATAATCATGCAAAAACTTTGGTGGGTGGTATGGCCTCAATGCTTTTAGAGCAAACTGTGTAAATGTTTGATTTGGGTTAAGTTATGTCATTCCCCCTGGCAGTATTCAGTAATGTTATTTGAGTTATTAAAATAAACTATAAGCGATTTATGTGTGTGTATACATACATACATACATACATACATACATACATACATACATACATACATACATACATACATACATACAGTTGAAGTCGGAAGTTTACATACACCTTAGCCAAATACATTTAAACTCAGTTTTTCACAATTCCTGACATTTAATCCTAGTAAAGATTCCCTGTCTTAGGTCAGTTAGGATCACCACTTTATTTTAAGAATGTGAAATGTCAGAATAATAGTAGAGAGAATGATTTATTTCAGATTTTATTTATTTCATTACATTCCCAGTGGGTCAGAAATTTACATACAATCAATTACCATTTGGTAGCATTGCCTTTAAATTGTTTAACTTGGGTCAAACGTTTCGGGTAGCCTCCACAAGCTTCCCACAATAAGTTGGGTGAATTATGGCCCATTCCTCCTGACAGAGCAGGTGTAACTGAGTCAGGTTTGTAGGCCTCCTTGCTCGCACACGCTTTTTCAGTTCTGCCCACACATGTTCTATAGGATTGAGGTCAGGGCTTTGTGATGGCCACTCCAAAACCTTGACTTTGTTTTCCTTAAGCCATTTTGCCACAACTTTGGAAGTATGCTTGGGGTCATTGTTCATTTGGAAGACCCATTTGCGACCAAGCATTAACTTCCTGACTGATGTCTTGAGATGTTGCTTCAATATATCCACATCATTTTCCTTCCTCATGATGCCAGGAAAAGGGGGTACGCTTGCAAGCCAAAGAACACCATCCCAATCGTGAAGCACGGGGGTGGCAGCATCATGCTGTGGGGGTGCTTTGCTGCAGGAGGGACTGGTGCACTTCACAAAATAGATGGCATCATGAGGAAGGAAAATTATGTGGATATATTGAATCAAATCAAATCAAATTTTATTGGTCACATGCGCCGAATACAACAGGTGCAGACATTACAGTGAAATGCTTACTTACAGCCCTTAACCAACAGTGCATTTATTTTTAACAAAAAAAGTAAAAATAAAACAACAACAAAAAAAGTGTTGAGAAAAAAAAGAGCAGATGTAAAATAAAATAACAGTAGGGAGGCTATATATACAGGGGGGTACTGGTGCAGAGTCAATGTGCGGGGGCACCGGCTAGTTGAGGTAGTTGAAGTAATATGTACATGTGGGTAGAGTTAAAGTGACTATGCATAAATAATTAACAGAGTAGCAGCAGCGTAAAAAGGATGGGGTGGGGGGGGGGGCAGTGCAAATAGTCCGGGTAGCCATGATTAGCTGTTCAGGAGTCTTATGGCTTGGGGGTAGAAGCTGTTGAGAAGTCTTTTGGACCTAGACTTGGCACTCCGGTACCGCTTGCCGTGCGGTAGCAGAGAGAACAGTCTATGACTAGGGTGGCTGGAGTCTTTGACAATTTTGAGGGCCTTCCTCTGACACCGCCTGGTATAGAGGTCCTGGATGGCAGGAAGCTTGGCCCCAGTGATGTACTGGACCGTACGCACTACCCTCTGTAGTGCCTTGCGGTCGGAGGCCAAGCAGTTGCCATACCAGGCGGTGATGCAACCAGTCAGGATGCTCTCGATGGTGCAGCTGTATAATTTTTTGAGGATCTGAGGACCCATGCCAAATCTTTTCAGTCTCCTGAGGGGGAATAGGCTTTGTCGTGCCCTCTTCACGACTGTCTTGGTGTGTTTGGACCATGATAGTTCATTGGTGATGTGGACACCAAGGAACTTGAAGCTCTCAACCTGTTCCACTACAGCCCCGTCGATGAGAATGGGGGCATGCTCAGTCTTTTTTTTCCTGAAAAATTTGTGCAACATCTCAAGACATCAGTCAGGAAGTTAAAGCTTGGTCGCAAATGGGTCTTCCAAATGGACAATGACCCCAAGCATACTTCCAAAGTTGTGGCAAAATGGCTTAAGGACAACAAAGTCAAGGTATTGGAGTGGCCATCACAAAGCCCTGACCTCAAGCCTATAGAAAATGTGTGGGCAGAACTGAGAAAGCGTGTGCGAGCAAGGAGGACTACAAACCTGACTCAGTTACACCAGCTCTGTCAGGAGGAATGGGCCAAAATTCACCCAACTTATTGTGGGAAGCTTGTGGAAGGCTACCCGAAACGTTTGACCCAAGTTGAACAATTTAAAGGCAATGCTACCAAATACTAATTGAGTGTATGTAAACCTCTGACCCACTGGGAATGTGATGTTAGAAATAAAAGCTGAAATAAATCATTCTCTCTACTATTATGCTGACATTTCACATTCTTAAAATAAAGTGGTGATCCTAACTGACCTAAGACAGGGAATTTTTACTAGGATTAAATGTCAGGAATTGTGAAAAACTGAGTTTAAATGTATTTGGCTAAGGTGTATGTAAGTGTGTGTGTGTATATGTACACACACACACAAAGGTATGTGGACACCCCTTCAAATTAGTGGATTCGGCTATTTCACCCACACCCGTTTCAGACAGGTGTATAAAATCGAGCATACAGCCATGCAATCTCCGTAGACAAACATTGGCAGTGGAATGGCCTTACTGAAGAGCTCAGTGACTTTCAACGTGGCACCGTCATAGGATTCCACCTTTCCAACAAGTCAGTTGGTCAAACTTCTTCCCTGCTAGAGCTGCCCCGGTCAACTGCAAGTGCTGTTATTGTGAAGTGGAAATGTCTAGGAGCAACAACGGCTTAGCTGCAAAGTGGTAGGCCACACAAGCTCACAGGGCGGGTCCACCGAGTGCTGAAACGCGTAGCACGTACAAATCGTCTGTCATCGGTTGCAACACTCACTACCGAGTTCCAGGAGGAGTAATGGTCTGGGGCTGTTTTTCATGGTTCGGGCTTCATGGTCCCCTTAGTTCCAGTGAAGGGAAATCTTAACGCTACATCATACAATGACATTCTAGACCAGCCAAACTCAATTGGCCGACCGCGGTCCGGGTCCGGACCCAGAGAAGGGTAAATCCGGAACGGATAACATCGCATTTTGTTATATAAAAGTCAATACATTATTTTTAGGCAGCTTTAAAAATTCAACCGGGTGCAGCAGCCTCTTTAACTCAGCAACCTCTCTTTCTCGAAGCAACGCCCATATCTCCTAGTGCCCCGTCTAATCCAATTGCGTGGTTATTTGCAAATACAAGAAGCCGCGTCTTACCCAATCGCATTAATCCAAATATCCTCTGTGGAACCTTGGGACAAGCAGGCAGAAATAAACAAAGATTTGACCGCAGTTCAACTGTTAATATCACAGATAGGAGCTTAGTTACCAGTGTCTTTGTTAATATGGCTTGTTAATATGGCTGAAAACCAATGCGCCTGATATGCAGTGAGTCCGTAGCTCTCTTGAAAAGTGCCAATGTTAAGTGCCATTGTGACACCAGGCATAGTAAATTCGATCAGACGTATCCCATGAACACGGAGGTGAGAACAAATAAGATTAACCAACTCAAATCCCACCAAAATCCTTTTCAATTCCCTGCCAGCCCAACAACATGCAATGGTGTTATCACTGAGGATAGCTTGGGTTTTGGGAAAACACAAAAAAAAAACATTTTCAGATGCTGAATGCATGTGTGAAGTTGCTGACACCTTGCTTGAAGGTAAACAAAAGATGAGCTCAGGGAAGAAAATGTGGCTTTGAAGGAGCAGGTTGGTGATTGTGACCCTGTCACTTTCTGGGGAAAGATGGTGCCTGCAGCTGATGTCCCTGTTCTCAGGAAACTGGCACTAGACATCCTGACCATGTTTGGCTCCACATACAGCTGTGAATCAGCCTTCTCCACAATTAACTTTATTATAAACAAGTACCTCACCAGACTCACCAATGAACACCTGCACCAGTGTCTCAGAGTTGCTCTCACACCATTTGTGCCAAAGTTCACAGCATTGGCAGGAGACAAAGTGTAATTTCTCTCTTATGCAGGCCAAGGCCCAGAGTGACTTATACATTAAAATTGCATGGCCCACAGTGACATTCTGTGCATTCAGATTATTATTTTTCGTAGACGACTATGTTTGTTACTACACTGTACCACAGCACCGATAAAGGACGATATCCATCCGGACCTTTGCCACCTAGGGAATTTGTGTCACTGGACCTTCTCAAATAGTAGTTGAGTACCCCTGTTCTAGACGATTCTGTGCTTCCAACTTTGTGGCAACAGTTGGGGAAGGCCCTTTCCTGTTTCAGCATGACAATGCCCCCATGCACAAAGCGAGGTCCATACAGAAATGGTTTGTCGAGATCGGTGTTGAAGAACTTGACTGGCCTGCACAGAGCCCTGACCTCAACTCCATCGAACACCTTTGGGATGAATTGGAATGCCGACTGCGAGCCAGGCCTAATCGTACAACATCAGTGCCTGACCTCACTAATGCTCTTGTGGCTGAATGGAAGCAAGTCCCCAAAGCAATGTTCCAACATCTAGTGGAAAGCCTTCACAGAAGAGTGGAGGCTGTTATAGCAGCAAAGTGGGGACGAGCAGGTGTGCACATACATTTTGGTCATGTAGTGTATGTTAAACAGGACTATATACCCTGACACAGCAAGACACATCGTCCCAGGTCCAGGCTAATAAATAACTGCTATGATAACAGATCATGAAAAACAAGGTTCAACTATTCTGGTGTGTGTGCTTCCAACACCCTTCATCTTTATCCGCCATTGTGGCTCCAAACTCACGGCTTCACTGTGTAGATATCCAACACAATGGGAACCTCGATTTCCACCGGCTTTGAATACGATACTTTGAAGTGGAGCTAGCAACAGGCAGTGGAGCTAGCAACAGGCAGTGCAAGATTCTCAGAACATACTCTACTATATGTGTGTCTGGTAGAGGCACTGTGGGTCAATTGTTTAAGCTCTGGTTTAGTCTGGTATATTTAGTCGACTGAAAATGTGTACTGAATAAAAATATAAACGCAACATGTAAAGTGTTGGTCCCATGTTTTATGAGCTGAAATAAGATATCCCAGAAATGTTCCATATGCACAAAAGCTCATTTCTCTCAGATTTTGTGCCCAAATCCCTGTTCGTGAGCATTTCTCCTTTGCCAAGATAATCCATGCACCTGACAGCTGTGGCATATCAAGAAGCTGATTTAAACAGCATGATCATTCCACCGGTGCCCTTGTGCTGGGGACAATAAAAGGCCACTCTAAAATGTGCCGTTTTGTCATACAACACAATGCCACAGATGTCTCAAGTTTTGAGGGAGTGTGCAATTGGCATGCTGACTGCAGGAATGTCCACCAGAGCTGTTGCCAGAGAATAGAATGTTCATTTCTCTACCATAAGCTACCTCCAATGTTGTTTTAGAGATTTTGGCAGTACACCCAACTGGCCTCACTACCGCAGACCACGTGTAACCACGCCAGCCCAGGACCTCCACATCTGGCTTCTTCACCTGCGGGATCGTCTAAGAACAGCAGACGAAACTGTGGGTTTGCACAAGCGAAGAAATTCTGCACAAACTGTCAGAAACCGTCTCAGGGAAGCTCATCTGCATGCTCGTCGTCCTCACCAGGGTCTTGACCTGACTGCAGTTTGGCGTCGTAACCGACTTCAGGTGGCAAATACTCACCTTCGATGGCCACTGGCATGCTGGAAAAGTGTGCTCTTCACGGATGAATCCTGGTTTCAACTGTACCGGCCAGATGGCAGACAATGTGTATGGCGTCGTGTGGGCGAGCGGTGTCAACGCTGTGAACAGAGTGTCCCATGGTTTGGTTATGGTATGGGCAGGCAGGCATAAGCTACGGACAATGAACACAATTGCATTTTATCAATGGCCATTTGAGTGCACAGAGGTACCGTGACGAGATCCTGAGGCCCATTGTCGTGCCACTCATCTGCTGCCATCACCTCATGTTTCAGCATGATAATGCATGGCCCCATGTCGCAAGGATCTGTACACAATTCCTGGAAAATGTCCCAGTTCTTCTATGGCCTGCATACTCACCAGACATGTCATCCATTGAGCACGTTTGGGATGCTCTGGATATACGTGTTCCAGTTCCCACCAATATCCAACAACTTCGCACAGGCCACAATCAACAGCCTGATCAACTCTATGCGAATGAGCTGTGTCGCACTGCATGAGGCAAATGGCGGTGACACCAGATACTGACTGGTTTTCTGATCCACGCCCCCATTTTTTTTTTTTTAAGGTATCTGTGACCAAAAGATGCATATCTGTATTCCCAGTCGTGAAATCCCATAGATTAGGGCCTAATTTTTTTATTTTTTTATTGACTGATTACCTTATATGAACTGTAACTCAGTAAAATCTTTTGAAATTGTTGCATGTTGCATTTATATTTTTGTTCAGTGTAATTTCCCTGTGGTCTGTGACTCTTAAATGTGACCATCATCCTTGATTAAGACATGACTGAATCCAAATTATAGTTATTCTTGGTTAAAAGGGAATTTATTCCAAGAGTAGGCTAAAGCTGTATTTGTGAAACTTGCACTTCACATTATGACAATGAATAGATATGACTCCATTGTTGACTATGAGTATAAACCAAAATGGCCGCCTTTTGTTGATGTCTCCTTTCCCTCCGTTTTCCACAGAGGCGACCAATGGGAACGTCCCGGCCGGGCAGCGGCCTCCACCTCGGATCCGCAACGTCCAAATCAATGGGCAGATCGTCAAACTGAAGTACTGCTACACCTGCAAGATCTTCCGACCGCCTCGCGCCTCACACTGCAGTATCTGTGACAACTGCGTGGGTAAGGAAGAGCACTCTTCCCCCTCCTGCTCCCTTCAGTTTAATTCATTTTGTTGTTGTTATCATGAAATAATTTACTCCGAAACTGTGTTGAGAACTAGCTTTTCTTTTATCAGCGTGTGAAGAACACATTCTGCTGATACGTTTTTAAATGTTTGCTCAAGACTTGACCTTACCTACATTGATTTGTCAGTGTTTTTTATCAAGTTTTATTGGAAAGAGTTTTAATCTGAAGTTCTAATGAAAAGTTCTATATCATGAGATGAAAGTGTGATAGACATTTCATAGCTAATGGGTTTCCAGTTGGGTTTTGGAATGCTGGCATATTTCTCGTTGTCCAGTTCTCTACAAAGACTCTTTGGAATGTCATGGACTGTTGCTTGAGGACAGTCATGACTGTACATGAACATGTCAAGCTCTGCAGAATAACAGTAATTTGGCCAGCGATCATTGAGGCATGCCTTTGTTCTGTGAGGGTAGCCATCGGTTATTGTTTATGACCAGCTCTCTCTCACACACACACACACACACACACACACACACATCCAGATACTAGTACAGAGTGAGGTTAGAGAAGACGGTGGAGGCTCAGTGTGTGCCTCTATGCCCAGTCACAGTGGAACACAAGGCCGTCTGTGTGGGGCCAGTGCACCTGCTGCAGTCTGTCTGGGTCACACCCCCCCATCATGACACAGCAGCCTGGGACAGACAGCCAGCTTGCCTCCTTACAGGATACTCTGCACTAAGGGCTCAATACAATCAATGAATCAATGAAGGGAGAGGGTTTTATGTACATCCAGCTTTGCCCAGGAGCTAGACAAAACAAAAATACATTACTTCTTCCTCGGTGCAATCAAGTCTGTGTTGCAGTATTTCACTGAATTAAAAAATAAATTTTTCTTATATTTGGAATAAAACTAGTGGGTGCGGTTATTTGCTGGAAGGAAGGCGTTTTCCATGGAACTGCCCTGTGTGTGGTTGGCCATATAGTGCATTCGGAAAGTATTCAGACCCCTTGACTTTTTCCACATTTTGTTACGTTACAGCCTTATTCTAAAATGGATTAAATATATATATATATTTATACACACACACACACACACACACACACACACACACACAGTGGGGAGAACAAGTATTTGATACACTGCCGATTTTGCAGGTTTTCCTACTTACAAAGCATTTAGAGATCTGTCATTTTTATCATAGGTACACTTCAACTGTGAGAGACGGAATCTAAAACAAAAATTCAGAAAATCACATTGTATGATTTTTAAGTAATTAATTTGCATTTTATTGCATGACATAAGTATTTGATCACCTACCAACCAGTAAGAATTCCGGCTCTCACAGACCTGTTAGTTTTTCTTTAAGAAGCCCTCCTGTTCTCCACTCATTACCTGTACTAACTGCACCTGTTTGAACTCGTTACCTGTATAAAAGACACCTGTCCACACACTCATTCAAACAGACTCCAACCTCTCCACAATGTCCAAGACGAGAGAGCTGTGTAAGGACATCAGGGATAAAATTGTAGACCTGCACAAGGCTGGGATGGGCAACAGGACAATAGGCAAACAGCTTGGTGAGAAGGCAACAACTGTTGGCGCAATTATTAGAAAAGGGAAGAAGTTCAAGATGACGGTCAATCACCCTCGGTCTGGGGCTCCATGCAAGATATCACCTCGTGGGGCATCAATGATCATGAGGAAGGTGAGGGATCAGCCCAGAACTACACGGCAGGACCTGGTCAATGACCTGAAGAGAGCTGGGACCACAGTCTCAAAGAAAACCATTAGTAACACACTACGCCGTCATGGATTAAAATCCTGCAGCGCACGCAAGGTCCCCCTGCTCAAGCCAGCGCATGTCCAGGCCCGTCTGAAGTTTGCCAATGACCATCTGGATGATCCAGAGGAGGAATGGGAGAAGGTCATGTGGTCTGATGAGACAAAAATAGAGCTTTTTGGTCTAAACTCCACTCGCTGTGTTTGGGAGGAAGAAGAAGGATGAGTACAACCCCAAGAACACCATCCCAACCGTGAAGCATGGAGGTGGAAACATCATTCTTTGGGGATGCTTTTCTGCAAAGGGGACAGGACGACTGCACCGTATTGAGGGGAGGATGGATGGGGCCATGTATCGCGAGATCTTGTCCAACAACCACCTTCCCTCAGTAAGAGCATTGAAGATAGGTCGTGGCTGGGTCTTCCAACATGACAATGACCCAAAACACACAGCCAGGGCAACTAAGGAGTGGCTCCGTAAGAAGCATCTCAAGGTCCTGGAGTGGCCTAGCCAGTCTCCAGACCTGAACCCAATAGAAAATCTTTGGAGGGAGCTGAAAGTCCGTATTGCCCAGCGACAGCCCCGAAACCTGAAGGATCTGGAGAAGGTCTGTATGGAGAAGTGGGCCAAAATCCCTGCTGCAGTGTGTGCAAACCTGGTCAAGACCTACAGGAAACGTATGATCTCTGTAATTGCAAACAAAGGTTTCTGTACCAAATATTAAGTTCTGCTTTTCTGATGTATCAAATAACTTATGTCATGCAATACATTGCAAATTAATTACTTAAAAATCATACAATGTGATTTTCTGGATTTTTTAGATTCCATCTCTCACAGTTGAAGTGTACCTATGATAAAAATTACAGACCTCTACATGCTTTGTAAGTAGGAAAACCTGCAAAATCGGCAGTGTATCAAATACTTGTTCTCCCCACTGTACATACATACATACATACATACATACATACATACATACATACATACATACATACATACATACATACATACATACATACATACAGTTGAAGTCGGAAGTTTACATACACTTTAGCCAAATACATTTAAACTCAGTTTTTCACAATTCCTGGCATTTAATCCCAGTAAAGATTCCCTGTCTTAGGTCAGTTAGGATCACCACTTTATTTTAAGAATGTGAAATGTCAGAATAATAGTAGAGGGAGATTTATTTCAGCTTTTATTTATTTAATCACATTCCCAGTAGGTCAGAAGTTTACATACACTCAATTAGTATTTGGTAGCATTGCCTTTAAATTGTTTAACTTTGGTCAAACGTTTCGGGTAGCCTTCCACAAGCTTCCCACAATAAGTTTGGTGAATTTTGTCCCATTCCTCCTGACAGAGATGGTGTAACTGAGTCAGGTTTGTAGTCCTCCTTGTTCGCACATGCTTTTTCAGTTCTGCCCACACATTTTCTATAGGATTGAGGTCAGGGCTTTGTGATGGCCACTCCAATACCTTGACTTTGTTGTCCTTAAGCCATTTTGCCACAACTTTGGAAGTATGCTTGGGGTCATTGTCCATTTGGAAGACCCATTTGTGACCAAGCTTTAACTTCCTGATTGATGACTTGAGATGTTGCTTCAATATATCCACATCATTTTCCTTCCTCATGATGCCATCTATTTTGTGAAGTGCACTAGTCCCTCCTGCAGCAAAAAAAACCCACAGCATGATGCTGCCATCCCCGTGCTTCACGGTTGGGATGGTGTTCTTCGGCTTGCAAGCTACCCCCAGTTTCCTCCAAACATAACGATGGTCATTATGGCCGAACAGTTATATTTTAGTTTCATTAGACCAGAGGACATTTCTCCAAAAAGTATGATCTTTGTCCCCATGTGCAGTTGCAAACCGTAGTCTGGCTTTTTTATGGTGGTTTTGGAGCAGTGGCTTCTTCCTTGCTGAGGTGCCTTTCAGGTTATGTCGATATAGGACTCATTTTATTGTGGATATAGATACTTTTGTACCTGTTTCCTCCAGCATCTTCACAAGGTCCTTTGCTGTTGTTCTGGGATTGATTTGCACTTTTCGCACCAAAGTATGTTCATCTCTAGGAGACAGAACTTGTCTCCTTCCTTAGTGTTATGACGGCTGCGTGGTCCCATGGTGTTTATACTTGCGTATTATTGTTTGTACAGATGAACGTGGTACCTTCAGGTGTTTGGATATTGCTCCCAAGGATGAACCAAACTTGTGGAGGTCTACAAATGTTTTTCTGATGTCTTGGCTGATTTTATTTTGATTTTCCCATGATGTCAAGCAAAGAGGCACTGAGTTTGATGGTAGGCATTGAAATACATCCACAGGTACACCTCCAATTGACTAAAATGATGTCAATTAGCCTATCAGAATCTTCTAAAGCCATGACATCATTTTCTGGAATTTTTCAACCTGTTTAAAGGCACAGTCAACTCGGTGTATGTAAACTTCTGACCCACTGGAATTGTGATGCAGTGAATTTTAAGTGAAATAATCTGTCTGTAAACAATTGTTGTAAAAATTACTTGTTATCCACAAAGTAGATGTCCTAACCGACTTGCCAAAACTATAGTTTGTTAAGAAATGTGTGTAGTGGTTGAAAAACAAGTTTTAATGTCTCCTACCTAAGTGTATGTAAACTTCCGACTTCAACTGTATATCCTCATCAATCTACACACAATATCATGACAAAGCGAAACAGGTTTGTAGACATTTTTGCAAATTTATTAAAAATAGATTTTGTTTATATTTACATACACTACTAGTCAAAAGTTTGGAGACACCTACTCATTCAAGGGTTTTTCTTTATTTTTACTATGTTTTACATTGTAGAATAAGAGTGAAGACATCAAAACTATGAAATAACACATTTGGAATCATGTAGTAAACAAAAAAGTGTTGGGTCATTGTCCTGTTGAAAAACAAATGATAGTCCCACTAAGCCCAAACCAGATGGGATGGCATATCACTGTAGAATGCTGTTGCAGCCATGCTGGTTAAGTGTGCCTTGAATTCTAAATAAATCACAGACAGTGTCACCAGCAAAGCACCCCCACACCATAACACCACCTCCTCCATGCTTTACGGTGGGGGGGGGGGGGGGGGGGGTATAGGTGTGTCCAAACTTTTGACTGGTACTGTAAGTATACAGACCCTTTGCTATAAAAATCTTCATCAATCTACACACAATACCTGTGGTAAATTCAATTGATTGGACATGATTTGTAAAGGAACACATCTGTCTATACAAAGTCCCACAGTTGACAGTGCATGTCAGAGTAAAAACCAAGCCATGAGGTCGAAGGAATTGTCCATAAAGCTCAGAGACAGGATTGTGTCGAGGCACAGATCCGGGGAAGGGTACCAAAAAAAACGGACAGAGCTTGAGAGGATCTGCTGAGAAGAATGGGAGAAACTCCCCAAATACAGGTGTGCCAAGCTTGTAAATTCATACCCAAGAAGACTCGAGTCGGTAATCGCTGTCAAAGGTGCTTCAACAAAGTACTGAGTAAAGGGTCTGAATACTTATGTAAATGTGATATTTCTGTTTTTATTTTTAATACAAATGTATTATAACCTGTTTTTGCTTTGTCATTATGGGGTATTGTGTGTAGATTGATGAAAAAAACACATTTAATCCACTTTAGAATAAGGCTGTAACGTAACAATGTGGAAAAAGTCAAGGGGTCTGAATACTTTCCGAATGCACTGTATATGATTTAGTAGTTGATTATCTACACAAGGCTCCTATACCGTACATCAACAGATCATATTTCTGATGGTTCTTCCTCATTCCTGATATGCGCCAATGCAGAAGTCCTCCACCTACATGCTGTTATCATTTTCATTTAAATAATGTTGTGAAACTATCCAGGGTGTGTGTGTTGTCTGCCACAGGGAGAACAGTGTAAAGCAAGATGTTTTGTCTGTAAAGCTATCTGACACTGGATTCACTCTGGTAATAATGAGACGGGTGTCACCATATTCAGACCAGAGGGAATTATAGGGAAATGGCTCCTATTGGCTGTAATAACCGTGTGCTCGTCTTTGAGGGTTACTGACCTTTTGTAGCAGAGGACATTGGCTAATTAATCTGCCCAATTAATTACTGGGGCTTATATATAGTGTCACTCTCTTTATTTTATAGCCTGCAGTTTACTCTCCGTTAGTGAACACCTCTACTAACAGCTCATGTGTTTTACTATCTTCAAAACATTTAACCAGCAGAACTTTGGGGAATGGTCTATCCTACGCACTCAGTGGTATTTCCAAGTTAAATTGAACTAAGTTTGTTTTTTGTGTCTGTGATGGAGTGGCGTTTGATCGCGTGGCCACAGAACCTCTTCCGTCTTTAACCTCATCCCTCTCTCCTCTTCTCCACAGATCGCTTTGACCATCACTGCCCCTGGGTGGGCAACTGTGTGGGCAAGAGGAACTACCGTTACTTCTACCTGTTCACCCTGTCCCTGTCTCTGCTCACCATCTACATCTTCACCTTCAACATCGTACACGTGGTGATGCGTGAGTATTCTCCTGGAGCTCCAGGGAGGGGGGTGGTGGGTGTGTAGCTTGGCACGCCGGAATATGACTGTTGTTCGCTACGTCTGTCACAGCCAAGACCACAGCGGAATATAATACTAAAAGCTAAGGTAGGTCCAGGTCAGTTTCAGACCCTGACAGACTTCCAGACAGGGTGTTTACAGATTGGTGGATAGGAAATTCACAGGTGTGCGGGAAGCTGTCACTATTGACAGTTGAGGGAATGTAACCGAACTGGAAAGGGCTCGCCGAGTGAGTGATGTGGGCTAAATATGATGAAAAGTGATGAACCAGACCTAGATCAGCTGTTCCTTTGATCTGTTCCTAAATGGACCTTTACAGACAGCAGGAGGGCAGGGAGAAGTGTAGAGCATTTACAGTCAGGATAATTAGCTCCAGGCATGTGAGCTTAATTCAAGCCGCAGCCAGCGTACTGTCAATGTCATCCCTAATTTTAATGAATTGTAAAAAAAAATTAAATGGTGGAGTGAGTGAGAGGGGAATATTTAAGTGCATGTCTTGGAGCTTTTTAGATGTTTGTGTGTTGTGTTTTTGTGAGAGCTTGCGTGTGTGTGTGTGTATCATATAAACCCTCCTTTAACTATGTACTCGTCTCTCTACAGGCTCGGTGAACTCTGGGTTTATGAAGACACTTCAGGATACACCTGGGACATAGCCTTTCAGTTCCACAAACATCTACAGTCCACAATACCATCTGTTTATTGACCTTTAGGGCCACCGTAGTTTCCCCCTTAGGGCCACCGTAGTTTACTTCAAACCTACAAGAAGAAAATAAACAAAGACACTATTATTAATAAAGAATTTAGTTTGAGTCAAATCGAGTTATATGGAGTTATAACCTGAATCGTCACTGGAACATGTAATATCAAAGGAGATAATAAATCATTAGTGATTGCAGTAACCTCATGATAGACCTATCCTTGACCTGTAGACTTTGAGAGCTTGTAGTACTGTTGCTGTATCTGTGCTGTTGTTTCCTTAACCCAATCCCACTGTGCTGGAAGTGCTGGTGTGCTTCTTCACCTTGTGGTCAGTGGTGGGACTGACAGGCTTCCATACATACCTGATCTCCCTCAACCAGACCACCAATGAGGATGTGAGTATCTCTATTCTCTACCATTCTCTATAGTATGTCTCAATAGTTTAAACTAGCTTTCTCTATCTATCAGTGGTGATTAAAGAATGGAGATATGGAAAGGAAGGAAGGACATTTTAGGTTATTGACACACAGCCGGTCGTCTTGAAAATGTCAGACCTAGGGCAACAGCACTAGGTCAGGGAATCATGATGTATTATCATGGTAACTTTGAAAAGGAAAAAAAAATAAACTCAGGGGAGGGTCCTTTTCAGACAGACAACTCTCGCAACAATTCACGAGTTTGGGTAGATGGGGCTTAAAATGCGGGCAGGAATTGTGCTCATGAAAAACTCTTACCATAGCCTGTAGGCAGACATGCCAGAACGTCGCGATATAAAACCAAAGTTTGCAGGCAATACTTTGCAGTGGTTTTAGTGAAGGTAGTTGATACAAACTAACCACTTGCGAAATGCACTCAATATCTTTCTAGCTACTATTTTGTGTCCGTGGGATGTTTACGCTAGGGCAACAAGTGGATAAGGCAAAGACGTAAGAAAGCCGGATGTCTCATCTCCGCACTTTCCTCTCTGCCAAACTGACGTTGTCTAAGTACAGACGCGTATGCTGGAACATTGATGCATTGTGGGAGGAAAGCCGTCTCTCTAGAGACACTACACAGCCGGAGACTCGAGTAAGAAGTTTTTACATGACCACAGATCTAGGTTCAGATTAACGCTTCCCCGAATCCTAACTTTAACCATAAGGGGCTGCAATAAGATCGGACCCTGTGTCAGTTGTTAGGATCTTCTTCACTCCAGGGTTCTGTTTATGCTAAAAGGGGAGTGCTAACATGGCGGGGCTTCATGTGGCTGGAAAGATAAAGACACTCTTAGGGTGGGTGGTGTAAACACTCCAGTTCTACCACCTGTCACCTTGGCAACCACACACCCTTTTTGTTCTTTGGAGCCTTAGTTGGAACTTAAAGGCTGGAGTTCAATCAAATTTGTCATGGTAATATTTACTTTATATGACCATTGAGTATAAACGGCAATGCAGGAGTGATTGAAGTATGATTAATAACTACATGGCAGTCTTAGACACTCAAATCCATGGGTATTACATAAACAATAAAACATTAACAGGTAAAAAACATAAAAGCCTATTGAATAGTGAGGCATTTGACAAGTTTGTCAGTGCCGCCACCGACACCCCTTGCTCTCACTCCCAGCTGACTTTGTGTTGGTGTGGCCAGAGGATTTTGCTCTGCAGTAGTGTCTTGTGTATGCAGCTACAGTGCCTTCAGAAAGTTTTCAGACCCCTTGACATTTTCCACATTTTGTTACGTTATACAGCCTTATTCTAAAATAGATAAAAAAATGTTTTTAAGTATTCAGACCCTTTGCTATGAGACTCAATTGAGCTCAGGTGCATCCTGTTTCCATTGATTCTCCTTGATGTTTCTACAACTTGATTGGAGTCCACCTGTGTTAAATTAAATTGATTGGAGATGATTTGGAAAGGCACACACCTGTCTATATAAGGTCCTACAGTTGACAGTGCATGTCAGAGCAAAAACCAAGCCATGAGGTTGAAGGAATTGTCCGTAGAGCTCTGAGACAGGATTGTGTCAAGGCACAGATCTGGTGAAGGGTACCAAAACATTTCTGCAGCATTGAAGGTCTCCGAGAATACAGTGGCCTCCATCATTCTTAAATGGAAGAAGTTTGGAGCCACCAAGACTCTTTCTAGAGGTGGCCGCCCAGCCAAACTGAGCAATCGTGGGAGAAGGGCCTTGGTCAGGGAGGTGACCAAGAAACCGATCGTCACTCTGACAGAGCTCCAGAGTTCCTCTGTGGAGATGGGAGAACCTTCCAGAAGGACAACCATCTCTGCAGCACTCCACCAATCAGGCCTTTATGGTAGAGTGGCCAGACGGAAGCCACTCTTCAGTAAAAGGCACATGAAAGCCCGCTTGGAGTTTGCCAAAAGGCACCTAAAGACTCTGACCATGAGAAACAAGATTCTCTGGTCTGATGAAACCAAGATTGAACTCTTTGGTCTGAATGCCAAGTGTCACGTCTGGAGAAAACCTGGCACCATCCCTACGGTGAAGCATGGTGGTGGCAGCATCATGCTGTGGGATGTTTGTCAGTGGCAGGGACTGGGAGACTAGTCAGGATCGAGGCAAAGATGAACGGAGCAAAGTACAGAGAGATCCTTGATGAAAACCTGCTCAGGACCTCAGGACAACGACCCTAAGCACACAGCCAAGACAACGCAGGAGTGGGGCAATTCTCTGAATATCCTTGAGTGGCCCAGCCAGAGCCCGGACTTGAATCCAATCGAACATCTCTGGAGAGACCTGAAAATAGCTGTGCAGCAACACTCCCCATCCAACCTGACAGAGCTTGAGAGGATCTGCAGAGAAGAATGGGAGAAACTCCCCAAATACAGGTTTGCCAAGCTTGTAGCGTCATACCCAAGAAGACTTGAGGCTGTAATCGCTGCCAAAGGTGCTTCAACAAAGTACTGAGTAAAGGGTCTGAATACTTATGTGAATGTGATAATACAGTTTTTATTTTTAATACATATGCAAAAATGTCAAAACCTGTTTTTGCTTTGTCATTATGGGGTATTGTGTATAGATTGATTGGGGAGGGGGGAACAATTTAATCAATTTTAGAATAAGGCTGTAACCTAACAAAATGTGGAGAAGTCGAGGGGTCTGAATACTTTCCAAAGGCACTGTCTATATCTTTATCTGAGAGACTCCCAGATCTGAATGCTGGCAAGATGGCAGCAGTAGTAGCTGTTGAAAGCTGCAGAGCTCTCTCTCTACTTTACTTTAATGTTTAATGTATTATTCCTTTCCTTTCTCCTCCTACGGGCTGCCAGCCCTCTTTCTACTGGTAATGAGCAGTGTGAGAAAAATGACCCACTGTCGCTTTGGTAGCAACACGGCACCGTGGCTGTCATCAGGATAATAATATACATATCAATACCTGCAGGGGCTTGGCCTGCAGCCAAGCGTACCTACGTATGTACGTATGTGTGTGCGTGCGGTGAGGGGGTCACCTTCAGAACCATGGCTGAGCTGGTCTCTATAGGGATAACACATGTTCCTTCCTTTGTCTCACTTAGCTAACGTGCTCACATAAAACACTGGGACATTTGAATGTTAAGAACAAGTCATTTGATATATCATAGCCCTAGACAGGTGTCCCCCCCAAATGGCACCCTATTCCCTATATAGTGCACTACTTTTGACCAGGACCCATAGGGCTAGTGCACTATATAGGGAATAGGGTGCCATTTGGGACATATCCTTAGAAAGGCTATGCAGTTTGTCCCAGGGCTGGCCCTTGATCTAACCTCCTGAAGGAGCGGTCTAGTCTGAACACCCCCAAGGATTTCTGTGTCCATTACATTCACCAGCAGGTAGGGTTGCAAAGGGAGGGGATATTACTGGAAACATTCAAAGTTCACCAGTAAACTACCAACATTTTTCACAGTATTATATTTTATCAGATGACATCTAATGGCCTTTTTGGGGTAATGTCAAATATATAAAATAATCTAATAAGATTATATAAAAAATTTAAAAAATAGTTCCAAAGATGTAAAACATTATCCTAAATATAAACCATCAACTAGGTGAATACCATTGGTGATTAATATGAGGGTTTCAGCATGAAATAGTTTTTCACACACTTACTTATTTTACTATGTCAATGTGTCTGTTGTAAACGTTTTGGCGTCAAACTGGTGGCAGTTGTGAAAAAAGTAAATAGTTGCAGAGTTAATTGAAAAAAATGCCATGCTTTTTTTCATTAATTGGGCAATTTTCTCTTCAACCATATGGTCTATCAACGAGAAACCCATCGACAATATGATATAATAAATGAATACTATATATAATACATTCTTACAGTTATTCAAGTATAAATTACCAAAGTTACAATAGATTACCTGTTAATTACCTAAATTACTGAAGAATCAGGGAACTTTAAGTTACCATTAGCTTTACAACCCTACCAGCTTGATACTTCATGCAATGATAACTCTTTGTGTGAATAATTATTCCTAGTTTGGAGAAGTACATCCTAGCATCACACTCCCGTTATCTCAGAATTAAAGATTTAGATCATTTTAATGACGATATCCCTGCATACATATATATTAACATACCTAGCGTATACTTGAACCAGGAATCCCTCACAAGATCTATTTTGTTGGTCAGGTTTAACCCTGTGTGATTACAGTAAGTACAGGGACATTATTTTAGCAGGTGGAGGTAATATACTGAATATGCCCTATTTGTTGAGATGGTAACCAGACAGGCAGTGTCAGGACTGTATCTGTAAGGGCGTTGTTTGCATCTGGCTGAAGCAGGGTTGGGCTAGATTCCGTTCCAATTCAGTCGATTCCAGAACTGAAATTCCAATCCCGATTTCCTCATTTAAAAACAAAGAATTGGACTTGGAATTCAGTTGACTTACAAAATTGACTGAATTGAAATGGAATAGACCCTGGGTGGAATAGATGACACAAAAAATGTGGTGTTTGCTATATGTGTTCCTACTGTCTTTTTTTACGGGGGAGTGTATTTTGTGTTACACAGATCAAAGGCTCGTGGTCTGGAAAGAACCGGGTGCAGAACCCCTACAGCCACAAGAACATCATCAATAACTGCTGTGAAGTGCTGTGTGGGCCTGCATACCCCAGGTACTGTAGGACCATTAGTGCTGTGTGGGCCTGCATACCCCAGGTACCTTGCTGTAGGACCACTAGCTGCCTTGTCTCTGCTCAGAGGATACGCTAGTATGGAAAATATTTTGCTGCTGGGTTATTCACTATTTTACCCTCTCTTCTCATGGTCTCTCTTTCTCTCTCTTGCTAACTTGTCTCTGTAATATTCATCTTCTCTGTAGCCACCCTCCTCTGTCGTCTTCCTTCCCCTTCCGACCCTCACCCATCCCTCCCTCGTCTCTCTCTTAGTCTCTTTTTATTCCTCTCACACTGTAGCCGCTCTTCATCCTCCTCCCTCCCTCCCTTGCCTCTATTTCATTCACTCTCTCCATCTCTCTCTTTCTCTCTCCCTCTACTTTCTGTTTCGGTAATGAATAGGGTGTTGTTGATGACTGATTGTCTGTCTTCCCTTGGCAGTGTCTTGGACAGAAGAGGGCTGATGCAGGATGATTTGCCTGTTCCCACATCTGCTGCCGAGCCTGCCACCAACAGCAATCCAGTGCCACAGACCACAGTAAGTGCGCACACACACACACACTAATTTACTTTGTCTGGCACTAAAATCGCTCCAGCTTGCCAGACACAAAGCATAATACAGTGTGTGTGCATAAAATATAGCCTAAATCAATTACATAGAGAGAGGGAGGAGAGGAGAGCAAATGAGCTGTACAGGGAGAACAATGTACTGTAGAGCAGAAAATGTTTTCCTTTTTTATAGAGAGATAATTTTAAAGCACTCAGCAGCTCACTGTTCTGTAGCCATTTTGTGCCTCTGTTTGTACAGATGCCATTTTGTACCTTGCAATGTCTGCAGTTGCCATTCTGTGCCTATGTATAGCTTATATACTGTTGCACCTCACTATGTGTCGGTATATTTCTACTGGTGCAATGTCTTGCCTTTTCAGCTATCAATAGTTTCTGGTCTTTTGGTTACTATTAGAATCTACTTATTGTGCCATGTTCCCTCTGCAGAAAACTACAGCTCCACTCATCCCCAACGAGCACACCCCTGACGACGCCAAGCCCAGCATGGCAGACTCTGCCATCGCCCACGCAGAGAAAAGAAGCCCCTCCCCGAGGGAGGAGAAGACGCCCACTCTACCCAAATCCCTGCCCACTCCCACGAAAGTCCCGCCCTTGGCCTCACCTGAAACTGACGCGGAGGCCTCCATCATTATCGCCAAGGAGAAGGCACTCTAGCTGCGTGGTGGGGGTGGAGACTCCTTCCTTGCCCCTCCCACAGTCACAACATTTCTCTAAAACGCTCTGTCTGGACCTGTGAGGGAGACACTTTAATCAGCTTTTGTATGAGCTATATGAGTGAGAAGCATCTGCCTGTAATGAGTGGAGAATGACTGCAAGGCTCTGACTCCCTGCTCATTCCACCAGATATGCAGAGTTGGTGCCCCCACCAAAGCCTGCATCCCCCCTAACTCAATGACTGCGGGACTGCTTGATTGACATTCACACTCCAGAAGGATGGGGGGTTGGGGATTGGGGGATGGTGGCTCAGCACCTTTCTCGTTCCCCTGAACATTGCATGGAAAAACACAGGTGATGGGGAAACTAAGAACTGTGAGCCCACTGGATGCAGATTACCGTATATCCTGAGTAGTGTGAGGCTGAGGGGGTCCTAAAATGGATACCGTACCCAGGCGCCTCTGGATCGTGGCTACCTGTGGACTCTTGATTGTTAATGCTACTGTTTCTCTGTCTTTTTGTTTTTTAATGTGAAAAGCCAGTTCTAAAATACTCTTAGCGTTGCAAAATGTCTGACAAAGACACTTGTGTTGTAAAGCCTCTTAACACATCCACACTATTAGTCTGTTCTCAGAACCACACCGATCAGGCCCCTATGCAATCCATGGGAAGCTGGGCAATTGGCACAACAGCTATTAGGATGATGAGGATATAAGGACTGACAGCTAGTTTAGGGTGTGTTGAACAGTAAAACATGGTGGAGAAAGGAAACACTAACCATCGTTTATGGTTGAGATAAAGAGGCAATATCTCAGAGCCACCATGTTGTCTCTCTTCCAGTAAGTGATCCTAATGAACATCTCTAGAAATGTTGAGATTAAGGTTCTGCCTCGGCTACTACCCTTCCATTTTATACTGTCACACAGACACACACACCAGAGTTGGGGCCGTCATTATAAATTCAGTCAATTCAGAGGGTAAACTGAAATTCCTCAGACAAAAGGTCAAATGATCTTCTGGCAGACCGTTTCCAGGGGTACCCTCACAGAGTTCCTGTATCTAGCATTAGAAGCAGACACTTTGCCAGTGTCCCAGAGGGCGTGTGTCAGTGTGTGTGTGTGTTTATGTGTGTGTGTGTGTGTGTCAGTGTTGGGGGCATTTTCATTTCAATTCAGTCCATTCAGAAAGTAAACTGAAATTCCTATTCCAAGTAAAACATTTCTGAGGAATTTCAGTTGACCCTCTGAATTGACTGAATGTATAATGACGGCCCCAACCCTGGTGTGTGTGAGACAGAGGCCTGATTGTTGTTGACAGTAGACACTAGTTACAGTGCCTTATCAAAAAGCTGCGCTATCACATGCAAATATATACTATCTACAGAGACCCTTAGACCAGGTCTAGCTAGAGACCCTTAGACTCCAGGTCTAGCTACAGAGACCCTTAGACTCCTGGTCTAGCTACAGAGACCCTTAGACTCCAGGTCTAGCTACAGAGACCCTTAGACTCCAGGTCTAGCTACAGAGACCCTTAGACTCCAGGTCTATCGACAGAGACCCTTAGACTCCAGGTCTAGCTACAGAGACCCTTAGACTCCAGGTCTAGCTACAGAGACCCTTAGACTCCAGGTCTAGCTACAGAGACCCTTAGACTCCAGGTATAGCTACAGAGACCCTTAGACTCCTGGTCTAGCTACAGAGACCCTTAGACTCCAGGTCTAGCTACAGAGACCCTTAGACTCCAGGTCTAGCTACAGAGACCCTTAGACTCCAGGTCTATCGACAGAGACCCTTAGACTCCAGGTCTAGCTACAGAGACCCTTAGACTCCAGGTCTAGCTACAGAGACCCTTAGACTCCAGGTCTAGCTACAGAGACCCTTAGACTCCAGGTCTAGCTACAGAGACCCTTAGACTCCAGGTCTATCGACAGAGACCCTTAGACACCAGATCTATCGACAGAGACCCTTAGACTCCAGGTCTAGCTACAGAGACCCTTAGACTCCAGTTCATGACTCAGCACTCCAAATCGTACATGCCGACTGTAAATAACGTCCCTTTTTATACAGTTACCAATGAGACTTAAGAGACAGCAGAAAAATACGAAGTAAAGCCATTGTTTAAATGTAAATACTATATGTAGGTGTTGAAAAAACTATTGGATCTATTGCTGATGAAAAGGGAAGATTGAGAGAAGAGAACCAGGTTGTCTCTGTTTGAGTGTGTGGCCAGTGTTAGATATTTGCCTGTGAATGAACTGCTGCTTGCAAGTCATGCAACTTCTGAATTTCTCCTCTTAGCTTCCACTGTCAACTTGGTGTCCTTGCTGCTTGTCATCATCCACATATTGCTGAGGACAGCTTTCATTATCTCCATTCCTCCTTCTCTTCCTCTGTGTTTCCCAGGGAGGATATTCAGTACACCAGCCACCTGTGGAGGGCTCATTATCAAACTGGAAAAGTGAGAGACGGGAGCTGCTTTCTCTCTTCTCTTTCTCATCTGTTCATTTCACACCAAATATCGCAGAGGATTATGAGGGTTTGTGAGAGGCGGGCGAGGTGTGTGAGAATTTCAGCTGCTTTTCAACTAGAACGGACAGGATTCACAAAAGATGGTCAGTGAGAATGGGGTGATATGTTAAACTGCTATTGGTTGACAATTGAGAGAGTTTGTATTACTTGTTGTGTTGTGTGTGTAAGGCAGAGTAATTGTGATGTATACTTGTATAGAAAATCTAGTATAACAACGTTGAGTCTTTCAGCCATCTGATACGCCCAAGATGATAATTTATACATGACCAGAATAGAATAATACTTTAATAATCTGATTTAATTAATATAAAGGATTGCAGCGCTACTGTACATGGCCAAGCAGTATGTTTTAAACTTTTAATTTGATTTGATTTCACAAATATTCTCATTTCCAGTGTATTTGAATTAGGAATGTGAGTAGGGGAGTTACTAGTTGTTACAAGTTACACTCAATAACATTACAACAGTAACCCAGACTTTATCCTGATTTGAACTATGAGTTAACACAACCATCTAGGCCCTTGCAGTGTTTTTATCACTATTTTACTTGTGCTGAGAAGGTGTAGGGTGATCAGCGTTTCCTTAGACGCTGATCTTCAATCAGTTTTCCCTACTAATGGTTAGGATTGTGGGACGGGAAGCTGATCCTAAATCTTTACCTAGGGGAGATTTCACCCCAGAGCTACCGAGAATATAAGCCGCCTTGTGAAACAGACAACCAAGGGATGTTTTAATCAAATAGTGGTTTACATTATTTCCTGAATTTGTATGTATGCATTGAAAAGTCCTTTCAAGAAATGTCTTCTATTTTAATATTTTTCTTTTCTCTTTTTGTTTTTCATCTTTCGGAGCAGTTCTTAAGCCTCAAACCAATCTTCCTATCAATTGAAGTTGAAGAGTTTTTGTCCCTGAATAGTATTCGGTTCTGGACAGTTGTAAAGATTCTCTGTCAATAGATAATTCCCTGTTGTATTGCGTCAATGGAGAGTGCGACTGTATTGGTGATTGTGATTAACAAATGAAAAGGGGAATGTTCATGTTATAGTTTAACCTGGTTCTAAGCTAATTGAACGGATCGAACCCTTGTACTATTAATGCTATCTCTATGGGCATATAGTAATATTACATACAATGACCTGAGATGTTTGGAATTGCTTATCTTAATGTTGAGTTAACGTTTGGATGTATGATTTGGATTTATAATGTTAAACGTACACTGAGGGTCTCCGATCTGAAGGCTCTGATCTAGATATGACAGTACATAATGCATATAGTACAGATACAATACCACTGATGGAATTTTATTTCCATTTTTATTTATGTTCACTTTGTTTAGTAATAACACTGTGATTATTTATATTTCATGATATTTCCCTCACTTTTTACATGATTGATTGGCGTATCTGGTAATTAAATTATATTGTCTTATTAATCATCTTGTCTCTGAATTATTGCATGGAAAGGATTTTGACTGCTGACTGCTTGAAACAATATCTGTCAAATAATTTGCATACAGGGAGAGGCCAGGAAATCTGGTCACAATAGACTCTTTGGAAGGATAATGGACACGTTTAAATATAAATGTGTGGAAGCAGACAACTTTGAACAGATAGTGATTGTGTCATCTTGATCAGATCATGAAAACCACATGTTAATGCAAAGTGTAAACAGGGCTATAAATATACATTCTTTGAGAAAGAGCATCTGCAACATTAGGGACCAGAAGGTCACAGGTTCTATCTCCGTGACTATCAACTGTACCAGCAGGGGGGAGTGCACCACTTTTTACACACGTGTGTACAGTCGTGGTCAAAAATGTTGAGAATGACACAAGTATTGGTCTTCACAAAGTTCGCTGCTTCAGTGTTATGAGATATTTTTGTCAGATGTTACTATGGTATACTGAAGTATAATTACAAGCATTCCATAAGTGTCAAAGGCTTTATTTGACAATTACATTAAGTTTAGGCAAAGAGTCAATATTTGCAGTGTTGACCCATCTTTTTCAAGTCCTCTGCAATCCGCCCTGGCATGCTGTCAATTGTCTTCTGGGCCACATCCTGACTGATGGCAGCCCATTCTTGCATAATCAATGCTTGGAGTTTGTCAATGGGATTAAGGTCTGGGGAGTTTCCTGGCCATGGACCCAAAATGTCGATGTTTTGTTCCCCGAGCCACTTAGTTATCACTTTTGCCTTCTGGCAAGGTGCTCCATCATGCTGGAAAAGGCATTGGTCGTCCCCAACCTGTTCTTGGTTGGTTGGGAGAAGTTGCTCTCGGAGAATGTGTTGGTACCATTCTTTAGTCATGGCTGTGTTCTTAGGCAAAATTGTGAGTGAGCCCACTCCCTTGGCTGAGAAGCAACCCCACACATGAATGGTCTCAGGATGCTTTACTGTTGGCATGACACAGGACTGATGTTAGCGCTCACCTTGTCTTCTCCGGACAAGGTGTTTTCCGGATGCCCCAAACAATCGGAAAGGGGATTCATCAGAGAAAATGACTTTACCCCAGTCCTCAGCAGTCCAATCCCTGTACCTTTTGCAGAATATCAGTCTGTCCCTGATGTTTTTCCTGGAGAGAAGTGGCTTCTTTGCTGCCCTTCTTGACACCAGGCCATCCTCCAAAAGTCTTCGCCTCACTGTGCGTGCAGATGCACTCACACCTGCCTGCTGCCATTCCTGAGCAAGCTCTGCACTGGTGGTCCCCCGATCCCGCAGCTGAATCAACTTTAGGAGACGGTCCTGGTGCTTGCTGGACTTTCTTGGGCGCCCTGACGCCGCCTTCACAACAATTGAACCTCTCTCCTTAAAGTTCTTGATGATCTGATAAATGGTTGATTTAGGTGCAATCTTACTAGCAGCAATATCCTTGCCTGTGAAGCCCTTTTGGTGCAAAGCAATGATGACGGCACGTGTTTCCTTGCAGGTAACCATGGTTAACAGAGGAACAACAATGATTTCAAGCACCACCCTCCTTTTAAAGCTTCCAGTCTGTTATTCTAACTCAATCAGCATGACAGAGTGATCTACAGCCTTGTCCTCGTCAACACTCTCACATGTGTTAACGAGAGAATCACTGACATGATGGAAATGTTTTTGGGGGATTACGTTCATCTTCATGGCAAAGAGGGACTTTGCAATTAATTGCAATTCATCTGATCACTCTTCATGACATGCTGGAGTATATGCAAATTGCCATCATCAAAACTGAGGCAGCAGACTTTGTGAAAAATGATATTTGTGTCATTCTCAACTTTTGACCACGACTGTGGACACACCTACTCATTCAAGGGTTTTTACTCTTTTCTATCCTGTGAGCCTTGTCTTTATTGGACTCAACTGTAAACTCCACCCATTGACCTGTCACTAAGCTCTGACCACTTAGCTTTCATCCAACCAATCAATTCCTCCGGACTACTTTCGGAGGTTGTCAGGAAGATCTGCTCACAATCAATAATTTTTATAATCTACACTGGTCTAAAAGTTTGAGCACAATCTGAATGCGGCTCAAATCAGGACACATGTTAGCACCAGATATAAACAGAGCTATTAACAGTGCCCTCTGTGTGCAGTGGGAGGGTCTATACATACTGTCCTATAGTGTGTCTTGTATAATGCCCAGGTTAATTAACTATGAAACTGTTTTATTTCAAATTGATAACAGAAAAATCTACCTAACAACTATGACAGACATACAGATGTTACCACAAAATACAGAGGTAAACACAAATATACAGTGAAAACTCAGAACACATGAGATATGGCTTTGGTGCTGTCAAATGTCTAAAAGTTATATACAGTCCACAAATTCATAAACATTAATATTCAAGGATATTTCCCAAATAACGGTTGAAAAAAACATGCTAGCAAAAACATTACACATGGAAAACATAAAACGTTTTACATTCAAATACCTAAAATGTTTTTAAAAAGTAACAGAAAACTTGACAGAATAAAGGATAAAAAAAAAAAAAAAAAACGTTAGAAAAGTAATATTTCTTACATATCCATTGATGGAAATAATATGAAATACGTGACCATATCATGTCAGAAACACACTGAAAAATATAAAAGTTTGTATGTCCTTACTAAGATCTTAATATCCATGTCAGAACTAATAGTAGCCTGGAAAGATGATAAGAATGCTCTGTTTATAAAAAATCCACTCAGACCTGCACAAATGACATGGTATCAGTGAAAAGGATGACACTTGCACAATCAATTCATATTTACAACTTGACCACACCGAGCTTTCCCCCAAAAAAGAGAGACTTTCAAAAGTCTTGCATTCTTCAAAAACATTTTCAATAGTTACTGGTGAAGCTCATGCTACGACTGCAGCCTTGTGACCCTTTGTTTTTAAAGTGTGGGGGCCACAAATGAAAATAAACTCCCTCTCAGTATATATGGCTTAATCCTGACTTTATCACTCTATTCTGATGGTTTGAATCAATCAACCAATTGTCGTTGTCTTTTGATAAATGTCCATCAGTACAGTCAACCAACCAAGGTTCTCATCAATTCCAGAGCTTCTCTTCTCTTCAGTTCTCAGGAGACCTCCTCATCCACTCTAAGCTCCTGCAGTTGCTCCTCAACAGAACTCAGCTGCTCCTCCTCAACCTGGTGCTGCTCTGGCTCCTGGTTAGACTTCTGCTCCGTACCTGGCTCTCCCTCTGGTTCATGGCGCCCATCCTTCAGGTTCTCTGTGCTCTCGAAGCAGCCTGAGTCCCTGGGTAGGTCATCCTTCTCCTCAGCACTACTTCCCTCCTCCTCTGGCTCAGACTCATCATCCGCTGAGGGGGACAAAGACAATACAACCATCAACATCAATACAGCGGAGTTAACCATCCCATCAATTTCAGTGTTGGTACAAATGCCATTACTTCAGCATGTGCCTCTAATGTCAGGGAAATTGCCTTTTAAAAGTCAAGTGCAGTGCAATGTCAGCGCAGTGTGGTTCGTTTGAATCCCGGCCATAGTGTATGTAATTAGAACAGGGAAGCACGTCGGAGCTGCTAGCCCCACAGGCTAATGGCCAACCAAGTGGTTATGTTCAGAGCAGAGGAAACAGCTAGAGGACAGGTGTTTAAATGAGGGCTAATGATCTGGCTGGAGGGAAGAGAGCTCCCATATCAAGGTGTTTCTGAGGGCCAAATGGGGTTTCCTACAGGCCAATGAGCACAGCAGGAAAATGTGAGCGGAATGTTGTACCATTAATGTAGTGAGCCTAATAAAATGAAGCTAATTAGGGAACAGCTGATGATAAAAAGAGAGAAAGCTGATGATAGCACTGTACAGAGAAAGCTGATGATAGCACTGTATGGAGAAAATAGTACACTTCTAGGCCTTGTTTAAAATGTCCTGCATTGCATTACATCTTGAAGTACCACATAAGAGGCTATGAGGGAGGCTTCCATGTAGAAAAGAAAATTGACTGAATATACAAATGAATACTGTACATACAATGTGCTGATTGATTACAGGTAGATTATGGCATCGTCTGGCTGCAGTAAAGCATGGTATCCGTGTGTGGTGGGCCTCCTGTAGGTGTGTTTATGTGTGATCATAATGTGATCATGGGCCTCCTATAGTGTGAGTATGTTATTAGATGGAATGGAGAGTGGACCTACAGTCACGCAGCAGCTCAGTAGCAGTCAGGATCTTGGTACGTTGTTCAGCATCTGTGATATTGAGCTCATTGAGGTGGGACTCCTTCAGGCCGCCAAAGTCCTCCAGGCTCTGGAAGCCGTGCATAGACAGCAAAGAGCCCAGCTCCTAAACATCAGAGAAAAGCATCACATTAGCATTAGCGATAGCATTGCACAAAATCCCCCCAAAAAGATTCATTGACAGGAACTTCTGAGACCGTCGAATGAAATGCAATTATATATTTGCATTGTCAGGTATTTATCCAATTTCACTAAGGTCTTTATACAGCACTCAGTGTTTAAACTTTTCCCAATTCAACTGATCCAAGTTAGTCATGATTTCTCTTTGATTGCGTTCTCTAAGCCAGCTGTTTATTTGAATCTCTGTATGAGATTAAGAGGATTTGATTGTCTTACGGTGAGCCCGATCCTCTCCAGAACTTCCTCCAGGGTCTGGGGCTTGTTTTTGGCCGTGGAGCAGCGATTCTTGTTGGAGCACCTCTTCCTCATGGGCGGTGTGGCCTCGTCCGGTAGGATGTTGACGTAGATGAACTTAAAGGTGCCCACCTTGTTGTTGAGCTTCCCTGTCCATGTGCCCACTGGGTCCTTCTCAATGATCTGGATGATGTCACCTTTCTGCATGAGAAACAGTGAATAATGACTACCTCCATCCAAACATGATCTGCATTCCAGTTACATACTATAAGATCACATACATTTGTGGTATATGTGAAGTGGGTCTGTGTAATTCTATACGTCACTGAGCTACTCTAATACTACTGTAATTCTATACGTCACTGAGCTGCTCTAATACTACTGTAATTCTATACTTCACTGAGCTACTCTAATACTACTGTAATTGTATAATTCACTGAGCTACTCTAATACTACTGTAATTGTATACTTCACTGAGCTACTCTAATACTACTGTAATTGTATACTTCACTGAGATACTCTAATACTACTGTAATTATGTTATATGTCTAATCTGATCAGCGCTCAATAAGATTGGCTCCTATAGAGATTCAGCCATGGATAATGACTAAGGAACCCTTCTTTTATTTCACCATCTGTTAACAGATTCCATAGGGTGGGTCTTACTTTGTAGTCTGGCTAAACCAGTCTAAATGCTGAGTGTACCGTCAGTCTGGTTAAACCAGTCTGAATGCTGAATGTACTGTCAGTCTGGTTAAACCAGTCTGAATGTTGAGGGTACCATCAGTCTGGTTAAACTAGTCTAAATGCTGAGGGAACCATCAGTCTGGTTAAACCAGTCTAAATGCTGAGGGTACCGTCAGTCTGGTTAAACCAGTCTAAATGCTGAGGGTACCGTCAGTCTGTTTAAACCAGTCTAAATGCTGAGCCTACCGTCAGTCTGGTTAAACCAGTCTAAATGCTGAGGGAACCGTCAGTCTGGTTAAACCAGTCTAAATGCTGAGGGTACCGTCAGTCTGTTTAAACCAGTCTAAATGCTGAGCCTACCGTCAGTCAGTGTACTTACTTGGAGCTTTAGGGACTCAATGTCGTAGGGGCTGGGGATGAAGTCTGTGTGGACGCGGGCGCGACCACAGAAGGGGCCTGTGTAGGGAGGACTGGACTCCTCCAGCCTCATGCTGTCTCTCTGGCTATAGCCACTGTCCAGGCTCTGGCGGTCCCCACCTGCAGCAAGCATAGTCAGACAATTACAGGCATTGTCAATAGGCAATGTCTTATAGCCTTTTAGTCCCATGAAAGGTTTCCCTGAAAATAAGAAGCTAAACCATACTTATAGCCATGAATGTAGTGAGGGTTAGCTTTATGTACTTAACTTGTTAGACAGGTTCAACAAAATATATTTTAGCTTACACCCAGAGAGCTGGCGGGAGAGGGGGCTGAGGACGGTGTCCTCTGAGCCTGTGGAGCACACGGAGGTCCTATTGCCTGCTGTCAGGTCTGGCATCCAGTCTGTGGTGGGGGACGGGGAGCCCTCCTCACCACTTTCCCCCTGTACATAGAGGATATTGTTTAGTGTTCAACAACAGACAGCGCCTTCAGGTAAAATATGCCCTAACCATAGACATACTGTATATTCATTATACAATAGACATATATTTTGTTTATATATATATATATATATATATATATATATATATATATATATATATATATATATATATATATATATATATATACACACACACACACAGTGGGGAGAACAAGTATTTGATACACTGCTGATTTTGCAGGTTTTCCTACTTACAAAGCATGTAGAGGTCTGTAATTTCTACATAGGTACACTTTGACTGTGAGAGACGGAATCTAAAACAAAAATCCAGAAAATCACATTGTATGATTTTTAAGTAATTAATTTGCATTTTATTGCATGACATAAGTATTTGATCACCTACCAACCAGTAAGAATTCCGGCTCTCACAGACCTGTTAGGTTTTCTTTAAGAAGCCCTCCTGTTCTCCACTCATTACCTGTATTAACGGCACCTGTTTGAACTCGTTACCTGTATAAAAGACACCTGTCCACACACTCAATCAAACAGACTCCAACCTCTCCACAATGGCCAAGACCAGAGAGCTGTGTAAGGACATCAGGGATAAAATTGTAGACCTGCACAAGGCTGGGATGGGCTACAGGACAATAGGCAAGCAGCTTGGTGAGAAGGCAACAACTGTTGGCACAATTATAGTTCAAGATGACGGTCAATCACTCTCGGTCTGGGGCTCCATGCAAGATCTCACCTCGTGGGGCATCAATGATCATGAGGAACGTGAGCGATCAGTCCAGAACTACACGGCAGGACCTGGTCAATGACCTGAAGAGAGCTGGGACCACAGTCTCAAAGAAAACCATTAGTAACACACTACGCCGTCATGGATTAAAATCCTGCAGCGCACGCAAGGTCCCCCTGCTCAAGCCAGCGCATGTCCAGGCCAATCTGAAGTTTGCCAATGACCATCTGGATGATCCAGAGGAGGAATGGGAGAAGGTCATGTGGTCTGATGAGACAAAAATTGAGCTTTTTGGTCTAAACTCCACTCGCCGTGTTTGGAGGAAGAAGAAGGATGAGTACAACCCCAAGAACACCATCCCAACCGTGAAGCATGGAGGTGGAAACATCATTCTTTGGGGATGCTTTTCTGCAAAGGGGACAGGACGACTGCACCGTATTGAGGGGAGGATGGATGGGGCCATGAATTGCGAGATCTTGGCCAACAACCTCCTTCCCTCAGTAAGAGCATTGAAGATGGGTCGTGGCTGGGTCTTCCAGCATGACAACGACCCGAAACACACAGCCAGGGCAACTAAGGAGTGGCTCCGTAAGAAGCATCTCAAGGTCCTGGAGTGGCCTAGCCAGTCTCCAGACCTGAACCCAATAGAAAATCTTTGGAGGGAGCTGAAAGTCTGTATTGCCCAGCGACAGCCCCGAAACCTGAAGGATCTGGAGAAGGTCTGTATGGAAGAGTGGGCCAAAATCCCTGCTGCAGTGTGTGCAAACCTGGTCAAGACCTATAGGAAACGTATGATCTCTGTAATTGCAAACAAAGGTTTCTGTACCAAATATTAAGTTTAAATATTAAATTTCTTAAAAATCATACAATGTGATTTTCTGGATTTAAGTTTTAGAGTCCGTCTCTCACAGTTGAAGTGTACCTATGATAAAAATTACAGACCTCTACATGCTTTGTAAGTAGGAAAACCTGCAAAATCGGCAGTGTATCAAATACTTGTTCTCCCCACTGTGTATATATATATATATATATATATATATATATATATATATATATATACACATACATACATACAGTGAGGGAAAAAAGTATTTGATCCCCTGCTGATTTTGTACAGTTGCCCACTGACAAAGAAATGATCAGTCTATAATTTTAATGGTAGGTTTATTTGAACAGTGAGAGACAGAATAACAACAAACAAATCCAGAAAAACACATGTCAAAAATGTTATGAATTGATTTGCATTTTAATGAGGGAAATAAGTATTTGACCCCTCTGCAAAACATGACTTAGTACTTGGTGGAAAAACCCTTGTTGGCAATCACAGAGGTCAGATGTTTCTTGTAGTTGGCCACCAGGTTTTCACACATCTAAGGAGGGATTTTGTCCCACTCCTCTTTGCAGATCTTCTCCAAGTCATTAAGGTTTCGAGGCTGATGTTTGGCAACTCGAACCTTCAGCTCCCTCCACAGATTTTCTATGGGATTAAGGTCTGGAGACTGGCTAGGCCACTCCAGGACCTTAATGTGCTTCTTCTTGAGCCACTCCTTTGTTGCCTTGGCCGTGTGTTTTGTGTCATTGTCATAGTGGAATACCCATCCACGACCCATTCTCAATGCCCTGGCTGAGGGAAGGAGGTTCTCACCCAAGATTTGACGGTATATTGCCCCGTCCATTGTCCCTTTGATGCGGTGAAGTTGTCCTGTCCCCTTAGCAGAAAAACACCCCCAAAGCATAATGTTTCCACCTCCATGTTTGACGGTGGGGATGGTGTTCTCGGGGTCTTAGGCAGCATTCCTCCTCCTCGAGTTGAGTTGATGCCAAAGAGCTCAATTTTTGTCTCATCTGACCACAACACGTTCACCCAGTTCTCCTCTGAATCATTCAGATGTTCATCGGCAAACTTCAGACGGCCCTGTATGTGTGCTTTCTTGAGCAGGGGGACCTTGCGGGCGCTGCAGGATTTCAGTCCTTCACGGCGTAATGTGTTACCAATTGTTTTCTTGGTGACTATGGTCCCAGCTGCCTTGAGATCATTGACAAGATCCTCCCGTGTAGTTCTGGGCTGATTCCTCACCGTTCTCATGATCATTGCAACTCCACGAGGTGAGATCTTGCATGGACCCCCAGGCCGAGGGAGGTTGACAGTTCTTCTGTGTTTCTTCCATTTGCGAATAATCACACCAACTGTTGTCACCTTCTCACCAAGCTGCTTGGCGATGGTCTTGTAGCCCATTCCAGCCTTGTGTAGATCTACAATCTTGTCCCTGACATCCTTGGAGAGCTCTTTGGTCTTGGCCATGGTGGAGAGTTTGGAATATGATTGATTGATTGCTTCTGTGGACAGGTGTCTTTTATACAGGTAACAAGCTGAGATTAGGAGCACTCCCTTTAAGAGTGTGCTCCTAATCTCAGCTCGTAACCTGTATAAAACACACCTGGGAGCCTTAACTCTTTCTGATTGAGAGGGGGTCAAATACTTATTTCCCTCATTAAAATGCAAATCAATTTATAACATTTTTGACATGCGTTTTTCTGGATTTTTGTTTTTGTTATTCTGTCTCTCACTGTTAAAATAAACCTACCATTAAAATGATAGACTGATCATTTCTTTGTCAGTGGGCAAACGTACAAAATCAGCAGGGGATCAAATACTTTTTTCCCTCACTGTATATATACAATAAAGGGAACATTTAAACAACACAATGTAACTCCAAGTCAATCACACTTCTGTGAAATCAAGCTGTCCACTTAGGAAGCAACACTGATTGACAATACATTTCACATGCTGTTGTGCAAATGGAATAGACAACAGGTGGAAATTATAGGCAATTAGCAAGACACCCCCCAATAAAGGACTGGTTTTGCAGGTGGTGACCACAGACCACTTCTCAGTTCCTATGCTTCCTGGCTGATGTTTTGGTCACTTTTGAATGCTGGCAGTGCTTTCACTCTAGTGGTAGCATGAGACGGAGTCTACAACCCACACAAGTGGCTCAGGTAGTGCAGCTCATCCAGGATGGCACATCAATGCGAGCTGTGGCAAGAAGGATTGCTGTGTCTGTCAGCGTAGTGTCCAGAGCATGGAGCCGCTACCAGGAGACAGGCCAGTACATCAGGAGACGTGGAGGAGGCCGTAGGAGGGCAACAACCCAGCAGCAGTTTCTGGCCATTTCGAGCCTATAATCAAACCCACAATTGCTGATGCTCCAGATGCTCAACTAGTCTCAAGAAGGCCAGTTTTATTGCTTCTTTAATCAGCACAACAGTTTTCAGCTGTGCTAACATAATTGCAAAAGGGTTTTCTAATGATCAATTAGCCTTTTAAAATGATAAACTTGGATAAGCAAACACAAATTGCCATTCGAACACAGGACTGATGGTTGCTGATAATGGGCTTCTGTACGCATATGTAGATATTCCATTAAAAATCAGCCGTTTCCAGCTACAGTAGCCATTTACAACATTAACAATGTCTACACTGTATTTCTGATCAATTTGATGTTATTTTAATGGACAAAAAACTTGCTTTTCTTTTGAAAACAAGGACATTTCTAAGTGACCCCAAACTTTTGAATGGTAGTGTATGTTTGGCCCTAACATGAGGATATAGTACATCTACAGACAGCTGTCTGGGGGCCTTACATCAGAAAAGTCTCCAAAGTAGACTGTTCTGTAGTGTGGCCTTGTATGGTAGAACATGTCATAGCTGTGAAAGCCTGAACCTTTTTGGATGCTGTTTGAATGTGGCCACTAGGGAGAGGCATTGTCAACCTTTTGAAAATGTTCAGGCAAAGAGGTACTGTATTTAGATATATCCATGTTTACTCAAATGAAGTGTCTCATTTTCAGGGTTAAACTGAATATCTATGCCTAAAATTTTTGTCACATATTTAAAACGATATTTGAATATTTGATTATGAATTAGTTGTACAATCATACATTATGTTTATATTTACAGTATAATTGTCAGTTTTGATGATTTATTGGTAAGGAGACCAACCCACGTTGTTAGGGTTGTGACTAGATGGAGTACAGCTACGACCGGAAGTTACTTTTCATAGCAGGTGAGGAGAGCATTTTAGCTAACTCTAACCCTTTTTCCTAACCTTAACCTAATTCTCCTAACCTGCCACTTTAATTCTCCTAACCTGTCACTTTAATTCTCCTAACCTGCCATGAAAAAGTCACTTCTGGTCGTAGCTGTGCTCCACCTACCTGTTGTTAGCTTTGGAACATTCTTTACTAAGACCAAACCAGATGTGTTATGGGTATTGTAGTACATCACGCTACACTTACCCCCTCCTCTGCCAGGGCCTTCTGTACCCTCTTGGAGGTTTTACGGGTCATGGTGCGTGAGATGACGTTACGCCACGACTTCTTCCCCTGCTTACTGCCACTCTTCACTGCCTCCTCCACAGTCACATCCTCCGGCACCTAGAGGGTTACTTTTGGTTACCATTTCAACATCTACTTAAGTCAATCTTTGCAAGGTGGGGGTGATGTGCACTGCTGTGTTGGATCACAATAAATGTGAATTCTCAGACACAAATTAAGTGCACAGGGTCACCTAACCTAACTGTTTTTATACACTAAAATTAAAGTTATAACAGTAACTTGTGTGGTGATGTGCTCTAGTGGTTCACACTCACGCATGCCGCGATTCACACACACACACACACACACAGATTGCAATGTGTGACGTGAATCAGTGATTGGGACACTGTGTCGGTCAAAGTGCTTCCAGTAAAGCTTGGCTGTGATGAAAGTTTGTGTGTCACTTGCAGCAGGCTCAGAGAGAGAACAGAGAGCAGAACAGAGCAGAGCAGAGTAGAACAGAGCAGAACAGAACATAGCAGAGTAGGACAGAACAGAACAGAACAGAGCAGAACAAAGAAGAGTAGAACAGAGCAGAGTAGAACAGAACAGAGCAGAACTGAGCAGAGTAGAAACAGAGCAGAATAGAATAGAACAGAGCAGAGTAGAACAGAGCAGAACATAGCAGAGTAGGACAGAACAGAACAGAGCAGAACAGAACAGAGCAGAGTAGAACAGAGCAGAACAGAACATAGCAGAGTAGAACAGAACAGAGCAGAGCAGAACAAAGAAGAGTAGAACAGAGCAGAGTAGAACAGAACAGAGCAGAACTGAGCAGAGTAGAAACAGAGCAGAATAGAATAGAACAGAGCAAAGCAGAACAGAGCAGAAGAGAACAGAACAGAAAAGAGCAGAACAGAACAGAGTAGAACAGAGCAGAACAGAACAGAGTAGAACAGAACAGATCTGAGTAGAACAGAACAGACCAGACTAGAACAGAGCAGAACAGAGTAGAGCAGAACAGAGCAGAGCATGGTGCAGTCAGCACTACAGTGAGTCATGCTAGCTCCTCCCCACAGGCCTACAGTCAGACAGTATGGATGTGTAGTTACCATGGAAGCCTACAGCCTCATCTTCAGTACAACAGACCACATGTGCTGTAAACAAATACTGCAGATTTCTCACATACATATAGCAAATAGAGACATACTCTCTCACGCTGGCATGGATGTAAACACACACACACACACACACACACACACACACACACACACACACACACACAAACATACTGTACACACACTATACAGTGGGGAAAAAAAGTATTTAGTCAGCCACCAATTGTGCAAGTTCTCCCACTTAAAAAGATAAGAGAGGCCTGTAATTTTCATCATAGGTACACGTCAACTATGACAGACAAAATGAGAAGAAAAAAAACCAGAAAATCACATTGTAGGATTTTTTATGAATTTATTTGCAAATTATGGTGGAAAATAAGTATTTGGTCAATAACAAAAGTTTCTCAATACTTTGTTATATACCCTTTGTTGGCAATGACACAGGTCAAACATTTTCTGTAAGTCATCACAAGGTTTTCACACACTGTTGCTGGTATTTTGGCCCATTCCTCCAAGCAGATCTCCTCTAGAGCAGTGATGTTTTGGGGCTGTCGCTGGGCAACACGGACTTTCAACTCCCTCCAAAGATTTTCCATGGGGTTGAGATCTGGAGAATGGCTAGGCCACTCCTGTCAATCTAATGTGTGCACTCACTAACTTACGAAGCCACTCCTTCGTTGCCCGGGCGGTGTGTTTGGGATCATTGTCATGCTGAAAGACCCAGCCACGTTTCATCTTCAATGCCCTTGCTGATGGAAGGAGCTTTTCACTCAAAATCTCACGATACATGGCCCCATTAATTATTTCCTTTACACAGATCAGTCGTCCTGGTCCCTTTGCAGAAAAACAGCCCCAAAGCATGATGTTTCCACCCCCATGCTTCACAGTAGGTATGGTGTTCTTTGGATGCAACTCAGCATTCTTTGTCCTCCAAACACGACGAGTTGAGTTTTTACCAAAAAGTTATATTTTGGTTTCATCTGACCATATGACATTCTCCCAATCCTCTTCTGGATCATCCAAATGCACTCTAGCAAACTTCAGACGGGCCTGGACATGTATTGGCTTAAGCAGGGGGACACGTCTGGCACTGCAGGATTTGAGTCCCTGGCGGCGTAGTGTGTTACTGATGGTAGGCTTTGTTACTTTGGTCCCAGCTCTCTGCAGGTCATTCACTAGGGTCCCCCCGTGTGGTTCTGGGATTTATTTATTTTTTTGATCATTTTGACCCCACAGGGTGAGATCTTGCGTGGAGCCCCAGATCAAGGGAGATTATTAGTGGTCTTGTATGTCTTCCATTTCCTAATAATTGCTCCCACTGTTGATTTCTTCAAACCAAGCTGCTTACCTAGCCTGGTGCAGGTCTACAATTTTGTTTCTGGTGTCCTTTGACAGCTCTTTGGTCTTGGCCATAGTGGAGTTTGGAGTGTGACTGTTTGAGGTTGTGTACAGGTGTCTTTTATACTGATAACAAGTTCAAACAGGTGCCATTAATACAGGTAACGAGTGGAGGACAGAGGAGCCTCTTAAAGAAGAAGTTACAGGTCTGTGAGAGCCAGAAATCTTGCTTGTTTGTAGGTGACCAAATACTTATTTTCCACCATAATTTGCAAATAAATTCATAAAAAATCCTACAATGTGATTTTCTGGAAAAAAAAATCTCAATTTGTCTGTCATAGTTGACGTGTACCTATGATGAAAATTACAGGCCTCTCTCATCTTTTTAAGTGGGAGAACTTGCACAATTGGTGGCTGACTAAATACTTTTTTTCCTCACTGTACATGCTTGCACACAAAAAGACAGGACTAGAACCAAACAATCCCTAAACAAAATCATAAGAGCAACACGTGGGCCGATAGCTCATTATGAAACCATGTCCCTCACAGTTAATGGCACCAATTGGTTCTGGAGAGGTCATTAGCTGTAGTGAATGGATCCCACTGTGAAGCACCAGACTGTCTGGAAGACAGCAGCCAGAAGTTCTCTGCTTGACTAGCTTTTACAGAGGACATCCTGCTTATGTATTTCTGTCCTGTCTCTTGATGTGGTTTGGTTTACACACAGCTTTAAGCGTCATCCTCTGTGATCTTCCTCTCCTTGTCGAAAATGTATTCTAAACTATCTCTTTATCTTCTAACTTCCAGTCATACTGTTTGTAAAATACAGTAGCAAAATAACAGTGCTGTCTATTTCAGTTTGATGTTATTGTCATCAATGTGAAACATTTCTTTGTTTTGGGCTATTATTGGGAAGCATGAACTGCAAACAATGTGCGGAGAATGTGGGTATGGGTGAAAGTCAGTGGTTGCATGACCATTATCCAGTATGTCCCCCGTCAAGGAACAACCACTTTTAGAATTTCAGTAGACAAAGAGATTTAAACAAGTCATGTAATTCTATAATCAATCGTTGGTATTAAACTGTTACATAATGGAACTCTGTGATTACATATGGCTGCTAATGGAAGACATCAGAGGCTTTTGTGTTTAACAGACATAGTTCGGTGAACCACACTCGTGTGATGAGTAACCTTGTCTGAGCCCTAAAGAATTGCATTAGCTTCCCAAGGTAGCTCAGTGCGCTAACACAGCATAGTGGAGACCCGGGTTCAAAACCAGTCAGTCACACTGTAAACTTACTGTGTAGTCCAAGTTGAACTCCTTGTCCACCACTACAGGGGACCTGGGCTTCATGAAGTCCTTGAAGCTGCTGGACCTCTGCAGGGTGAGCTGTGGAGACAGAGAGAGGATACATAGAGGACACGTAGAGGAGACCCAGAGATATACACTTTTGACAATCTCAACATACATCTAAAGTCATATCTTAAAGTATTAAACCTATAACATTTAATTAAGGATATTTTGGCACCCACAGAGTTCTTCTAATAAACTTCACAGAGACAGTTGTGATAAGAGGCAATGAGCCGGGAGGAGACAGAACATCGGCATGATATCTAAAATACAGTAGAGAACCAACCCATGTAAGTAGCATTTATCATCACTTGGTAACATCTTAGATGAGGAAGAGGAAACCATCATATACATCTGAGAACAAGAGCCAAAATGTCACTGTCACCTGGGTTACTGTTACCGCTCTCTGGGGGTTTAGGCCTGGGTTACTGTTTAGGCGTCTTTGGGGGTTTAGGCCTGGGTTACTGTTTAGGCCTGGGTTACTGTTTAGGCCTGGGTTACTGTTTAGGCCTAGGTTACTGTTTAGGCCTGGGTTACTGTTTACCACTTACAGTAATGACAATGCATGAAATATTTTTTGTATCAACAACATAAACTCTATATCATCAGGTTTATTAAATTAGAACTTAATAAAAACCTTTCCAGTTATATTATGGAGAGCCTAGTCTGAGGAAGCACTTATCACACTGATGTTCCACTATAGCTGGTATCACGTCCTGTAGAGATTGACAGAAGACACCTCTACATCAGACAGGCTTGGTCATAACGCTAGCTCGACTGGTCGCCATGATAATGACGATAAATTATAAATTATGGGGTATGTAGTTATATATTATGGAATATGTAGTTATATATTATGGAATATGTAGTTATATATTATGGGGTATGTAGTTATATATTATGGGATATGTAGTTATATATTATGGGATATGTAGCATGAGACACTGCTTACGCAGATATAAAAAGCCTAGACGCAGATCGATAACATTATGGAATGCTGTTCCCAAATTATCAAACAACCGTTATATGGCAAAGCTAAAAGCTGAAGTCAGGTATACTGTGTTGTAGCCTAGCATGCTTTTATTTGCTCTATTCCTCTACCTCTAGTCTTTCCAATGCATTTCAATAAACCTCTTCTTTTGCCTTTACGTTGACATCTCTGATTCTACACTTCAGTTCTGAATGAAAAATATTCCCAACTGTATACTCCAACTTAGAGTAATTACACATATGATTTAGTCTACAGGGATGTAGCTCAGTTAGTAGAGCATGGCGTTTGCAACGCCAGGGTTGTGGGTTTGATTCCCACGGGGGGCCAGTATGAAAAATAAAATAAAATAATGTGTGCACTCACTAACTGTAAGTCGCTCTGGATAAGAGCGTCTGCTAAATGACTAAAATGTAAATGTAAATGTCTCAATTTGATACTGTACTTAGAATCAGTACAGAAACCATTGTTGCTGTCTTACAGTTTTAATTGTTGCAGTTCCCTATAGAGATAAGCAGCCATTACTTTCCGTTTGACACCATGGCCTATCTTCACCTCTCCTTCTTGCCCCTAGTTAAAACCCACAGGAAGTGGGTACATGTTGGGTAACTGTTGGCAGCCAATCGCTGCAGACGTCTAGACAGCCTTGGTGGCTGTGAGAAAACGACATGCTTATCAAACCACTGAACCAAAGGAGGGTAACAACCACTCAGAAGATAATTGTTAGTTTATAATGATAGGCATTAGTATCATTTAATATCCATTAGGTGATCTTGCTGAGGAGCAAATTATTTGCCTTGTCAGGCATCAACACCCACTGAAGCCCATGTTTCAAGTACATTTATTCAACAGTATCTCTGCTCCTGAGTCTGTACAGTTTTGACCTTTCTCATCCAGTACTGATTATAATCGCATGTGGTGGTGGTGAGGAGGAGCAATGGCGTTAAGGTAATGAGGTGTGTTATGATGAAACCTGGATAGGAGGGTAGAACATGGGTTGCGGATGGAAAACAAGAGCACTGGTTAAGCGTAGGAGGTTAGCTGTTACCCAACCAAGCCAGTAGAGCTTTAGAGCATGAAGCCACGAAAGTCTGACTCAAACTGAACTTAGCTTCTACGTCCATGGCCAATAGAAATGAATCATACAGCGATATTAGAGGAACTAACGTTTTGTGCCGTGAGAAGCAATATTTTTAACCCTGACAACCAAGGCTTGAAATATTTCAGTTCCAGGTTTTAGAATGGTTTTTCAGGTCACTACAAAGGTTTCTTCTTCTACGCCTGTGTAGCACATCCTGTCAGTGTTTGCAGCACATACAGGCTATAGGCTAAGGTGTATCTCAGTGTTGGGGTTAGTCGAGTATAATGGGATAAACCAGAGAAAGTAGCGCTCTTCTAAATAACTCTCCACCATGCGTTCATTAATCAGCAAGATGGACACTTTGCATTGCTCTATGTTGTTCTATCACATATTTTCACACAATGTACTTATTTAACTTGATCACTTCTCATTTAGAAAAATAAATAGGCCTATGCGTGTTTGATAGACATCTGACTCCAAAGCCCTTTTTGCAGTGTGCAGACAGCCTTTCTCCTCTTGTCATTGCACTTTGTATCATCATCACTCACAGACAGACAATCCAAACCTCCTCACCTTCTTCTTCTGCACCTTCTCCTGCCCCTGCTCCTTCTCTGAGGCATTGGAAGGTTTTCGCCGTAACATTGTTCCTCTGTGGTTCCTCCTGCTATTCTTTGTGATCAAACGTGGCGAGACAGGCACCAATGCAGACTTCAGCAGCTCCTGTCAATCTGTTGTCACTGCTAGAGGACTCAGACAAAACAGTAGAGGCAGAAAGAGTGACTTCCTGTTTGACATAGTGGAGCACAGAGACTGAGAGGAAGTCACATGACCACACAGGAAATGGAGAAGCAGACTTCTGTAGGCACTTTGGTTTGAGTTTGCCAGAGAAACTTTGCTTGTATTTTTTATTTTCTTTCTTTTTATTTTTTGAATACCTTTGCGTCCTAGTTTTGGTTCTACACTGCTGGTGAAAGAGATTATTAATCTCTAAATTCACAAAGAGTAATGGTTGATATATTCTGAAAAAGTAATGGATCTAATCTAATTTCTCTAAAATAGGGGATAGTTAATATAAAACAGAGATGACCACTATTTAAAAAAACTGAAATTTTCTTGTAAAGATGCATGTCCTGTCGTGACAAAAATGCAGAACTAGTGAATACCTTCCTCTCATGCTGGTCTATATTTACCTATTACAAAACAAGAATGGGAGAAATGAATCATCTTCACATGTTCTGCCAGTCACATTCTGTTAAAGGTCTCCAAAGCACACACATCCCTGGCTCGCTCCTCATTTCAGTTCGTATCAGCTAGCGACTGGAACGAGCTGCAAAAAAAATTCAAACACGGTTCAGTTTTATCTCCATCAGTACATTCAGAATCAATCATGGACACTCTTGCTGACACTTGTGGCTGCTTCGTGTGATGTATTGTTGTCTCTACCTTTTTGCCCTTCATGCTGTTGTCTGTGCCCAACAATGTTTGTACCATGTTTGTGCTGCTACCATGTTGTGCTGCTGCCATGTCGTGTTGCTACCATGCTGTGTTGTCATGTGTTGCTGCCATGCTGTGGTGTCTTAGGTCTCTCTTTATGTAGTGTTGTGGTGTCTCTCTTTATGTAGTGTTGTGGTGTCTCTCTTGTCATGATGTGTGTTTTGTCCTACATTTTAATTTTTTGTCCCAGTCCCCACAGGAGGCCGTTTGCCTCTTGGTAGGCCGTCATTGTAAATAAGAATTTGTTCTTAATTGACTTGCTTAGTTAAATAAAGGTAAAATATATGTATGTATATTCAGTTGAAGTCGAAAGTTTACATAAACTTAGGTTGGAGTCATTAAAACTTGTTTTTCAACCACTCCACCAATTTCTTGTTAACAAACTATAGTTTTGGCAAGTCGGTTAGGACATGTGCATGACACAAGTAATTTTTCCAACAATTGTTTACAGACAGATTATTTCACTTATAATTCACTGTGTTACAATTCCAGTGGGTCAGAAGTTTACATACATTAAGTTGACTGTGCCTGTAAACAGCTTGGAAAATTCCAGAAAATGATGTCATGGCTTTAGAAGCTTCTGGTAGGCTAATTGACATAATTTGAGTCAATTGTAGGTGTACCTTTGGATGTATTTCAAGGCCTACCTTCAAACTCAGTGCCTCTTTGCTTGACATCATGGGAAAATCAAAAGAAATCAGCCAAGACCTCAGAAGAAAAGTCTGGTTCATCCTTGGGAGCAATTTCCAAACACCTGAAGGTACCACATTCATCTGCGAAACAATAGTACGCAAGTATAAACACCATGGGACCACGCAGCCGTCATACCGCTCAGGAAGGAGACGCGTTCTGTCTCCTAGAGATGAATGTACTGGTGCGAAAAGTGCAAATCAATCCCAGAACAACAGCAAAGGACCTTGTGAAGATGCTGGAGGAAACAGGTACCAAAGTATCTATATCCACAGTAAAACGAGTCCTATATATCGACATAACCTGAAAGGCCGCTCAGCAATGAAGAAGCCACTGCTCCAAAACCGCCATAAAAAAGCCAGACTACGGTTTGCAACTGCACATGGGGACAAAGATCGTACTTTTTGGAGAAATGTCCTCTTGTCTGATGAAACAAAAATAGAACTGTTTGGCCATAATGACCATCGTTACACCCAACTTATTGTGGGAAGCTTGTGGAAGACTACCCAAAACGTTTGACCCAAGTTAAACAATTTAAAGGCAATGCTACCAAATCCTAATTGAGTGTATGTAAACTTCTGACCCACTGGGAATTTTATGAAAGAAATAAATCATTCTCTCTACTATTATTCTGACATTTCACATTCTTAAAATAAAGTGGTGATCCTAACTGACTTAAGACAGGACATTTTTACTAGAATTGTGAAACTGAGTTTAAATGTATTTGGCTAAGGTGTATGTAAACTGCCGACTTCAACTGTATATACAGTGTATATAAAAGGAGTAGAGGATTTCCTCCTCTTAACCTTAACATACTATACTGAATTACAGTCCTGGCCAGGAGTAAAACCCTACCCTAACATACAGTCCTGGCCAGGAGTAAAACCCTACCCTAACATACAGTCCTGGCCAGGAGTAAAACCCTACCCTAACATACAGTACTGGCCAGGAGTAAAACCCTACCCTAACATATAGTACTGTCCAGGAGTAAAACCCTACCCTAACATACAGTACTGGCCAGGAGTAAAACCCTACCCTAACATACAGTCCTGGCCAGGAGTAAAACCCTACCCTAACATACAGTACTGGCCAGGAGTAAAACCCTACCCTAACATACAGTACTGGCCAGGAGTAAAACCCTACCCCAACATACAGTACTGGCCAGGAGTAAAACCCCGCTCTGTCTTGAAAGCTGCCTTCCCTTTGGCATTCACTCTAACTACCACCCTAGCTCATAATTAGAGTGTTCAAAGTGATATTCACTTGTTGTTGGACAACACCGTTATAATGACTAGATCTACAGTACTTCATTGGACAGTTTGGTCTGGTCATGCCATACATACCAAATACTGGCCAGAAGAAGATGATTGGTGTTGATAGAGGTGCTGGTTGAAGTTGTGTTGATATATCTTTTTTTTTATTTGTACATTTTTGTCATTTTAGCAGATGCTCTTATCTGGAGCGACTTACAGTAGTGAGGGCATTCCTTTTTTAGCACTGGTCCCCCGTGCGGAATCAAACCCACAACCCTGGCGTTGCATAAACCATTCTATAACAACTGAGCCACACGGGATAGAGGTGCTGGTTGAGGGTTCCAGCACTGAGTCAGCTTTACAAAAACACCCACAGTATTTCTGTCAAAGCAGACTTGAAGTGAAAGCCATCAAGAGATTACACATTTAGAAACTGAAGCCGCTGGGCCGTTGCAAATCCCTGCCACAGGAGAATCACACAGCCTTCTCGACCAGAAACACATCCATGTTGATTCTTGATGAGGTATACAGTGTGACTGCTCCGTAGGGAGAGTGGTCTGTCAAATCATGGCCATCCATTTTAGTTGCAGGATCAGTTGTCCCTAACCACTGATACAGGGTTTCATATTTTCTATCCCCATAATGGTTAAGGTTAGGATTGAAGGACAGGGTAATGTAGTCCTAAATCAATGTTCAAGAACAACTTCTTCCTTGAGCCAATAACAACCCAAAAAACAAACAATGGAGGATAAAGAGAATGTGTAAACATTTGCGTGTGTACCTTGCATGTTGGACAAAACAAGAATTAGTATGCCTACCAAGTGGAAATAGACAGAACAGGAAGTAGAGGTGTGTTAAATGTAGCCTGTTATTTTGGGGGTTGGTAATGTAGCCTGTTATTTTGGGGGTTGGTAATGCACATGACAAGAGGATGTCCCCGTTTAGTTTCCTCTTCATTCGAATTGAAGGTTGCCAACATGTTTGAGATTTTGGTGTGTTTGTACAAAAGTTTGAGGAACAAAAGGATAAATAAACAATATTCAGCATAAGATATACTGGTTTCATTGAATGAACATACAGTAGCTATCCAAGAGGATACTCAGTATACATTTACATTTACGTCATTTAGCAGACGCTCTTATCCAGAGCGACTTACAAATTGGTGCATTCACCTTATAGCCAGTGGGATAACCACTTTACAATGTTTTATTTTTTTTATTTTTTTGGGGGGGGGGTTGGGGTAAGGGGGGGGTAGAAGGATTACTTTATCCTATCCCAGGTATTCCTTAAAGAGGTGGGGTTTCAAATGTCTCCGGAAGGTGGTGAGTGACTCCGCTGTCCTGGCGTCGTGAGGGAGCATGTTCCACCAATGGGGTGCCAGAGCAGCGAACAGTATTGACTGGGCTGAGCGGGAACTATGCTTCCGCAGAGGTAGGGGAGCCAGCAGGCCAGAGGTGGATGAACGCAATGCCCTCGTTTGGGTGTAGGGACTGATCAGAGCCTGAAGGTACGGAGGAGCCGTTCCCCTCACAGCTCCGTAGGCAAGCACCATGGTCTTGCAGCAGATGCGAGCTTCAACTGGAAGCCAGTGGAGTGTGCGGAGGAGCGGGGTGACGTGAGAGAACTTGGGAAGGTTGAACACCAGACGGGCTGCGGCATTCTGGATGAGTTGTAGGGGTTTAATGGCACAGGCAGGGAGCCCAGCCAACAGCGAGTTGCAGTAATCCAGACAGGAGATGACAAGTGCCTGGATTAGGACCTGTGCCGCTTCCTGTGTAAGGCAGGGTCGTACTCTCCGAATGTTGTAGAGCATGAACCTACAGGATCAGGTCACCGCCTTGATGTTAGCGGAGAACGACAGGGTGTTGTCCAGGGTCACGCCAAGGCTCTTCGCACTCTGGGAGGAGGACACAACGGAGTTGTCAACCGTGATGGCGAGATCATGGAACAGGCAGTCCTTCCCCGGGAGGAAGAGCAGCTCCGTCTTGTCAAGGTTCAGCTTGAGGTGGTGATCCATCATCCATACTGATATGTCTGCCAGACATGCAGAGATGCGATTCGCCACCTGGTTATCAGAAGGTGGAAAGGAGAAGATTAGTTGTGTGTCGTCTGCGTAGCAATGATAGAAGAGGCCATGTGAGGATATGACAGAGCCAAGTGACTTGGTGTATAGCGAGAATAGGAGAGGGCCTAGAACTGAGCCCTGGGGGACACCAGTGGTGAGAGCACGTGGTGCGGA